CTATTCTCAGGTAGAGTGCAGTGCTCCTGAATCAGATCTTCATCGAGTTCAAGCACTCGCTGAAAGGTCATCTTTTGTGCTCCCCGACCTTTGATTCGGCTCACGGGGTACTACCATTACAATACATGGTGAGCGACAAGTGGTACAACGCACAACAAACAAGCTTTCCAGTATGCTAGACGGACGTTATCAGGTCAAAATATTTGAACAACCAGCATTTTCCGATGGGAATGACTGTCTCAGATCATACTTTGATGCCGTCAGAGAATGGCAAACTATCTCTAATGATTTAGTCCGTTTCCTTGGAACCGAGAGTTCCGAGATTGCACGTGGCCTACCGTATCCATTTTCCGTTGTACCTGTGGCCATAGTCTGCCAATACCAGATTTCCGCCAATGATTCATCTCCAGCGCAGCTGGGGTGTCAACAGGACGCTCCAGCCCAATTCAAAGAGTCCCGGAGCTCTTATGCTGGATCCGATATCATGATATACCTTTGTGACTGTAGAACGCTTGAAAACAAGACTGAAATAGCTGTCTACACTCAAGGGCTACAAAAGGTTATTATATGGCCAACTACATCTAATGGAAATCTGAGATGGCCGAGTAATGTCTTTCGATTGGGGTTCAATTTGGGCTTACTTCTAAAGGAGAGGTCTGGGGTGCTTTAGCTTTCATAATATGGGTAAAAAAACAACTCTATTTTGATATTTTCTGCCAGATTAAAACGCGCATTTCTTCGTTTATCTTATCGACCTTAAAAGAAGCGCCCTGTAAAGAAAACAGTAACCGCAAATTGAATGTTCCAGTATTTGGGGCAGAACTTCATAGTTCATTCTATTCGACACAAGCAAGCGATTAACAGAGAATAGGCGGACATATACTCCAATACAGGCACCGAGCGGTCAGGAGTGCCGTCATGCAAGACCAGTCTATGTGTAGATAGGGATTTGGGTATGTTACCTAGTTATCCGTGTGACCTTCTGGTCAGAATCCATTACTCATAGGTGGACTAAAAAGAACAGAAAAATTTTGATTTATTACCTGAAATTAAATATATGCCAGCCCTGGTCTAGTGCGTGCATCAGAAATGACTCGGTATCCAGAAAAAAACAGGCTGGCTCATTTGGATCTAGTCTTCGCCAGCCTTGCGTGATTTAAATTCGACTGAAAAATCCCACAAGGAAGCAAAGTGGCAGAAAGGATACAAGAACCGCTAGATCTCACAAACTAGGCTCAAAATCAAATTTTCTTTCTTCTGACTCAGGAATAAGATGTCTGATAAAATACAGTAGGTTCACTGCAGGCAGCTGCATAATAGCAATTTACTGACAGACTCCTAGGGACCTTATCAAAGCCATCCCAGGCCTAGGGCTTGAAATTTCCAATCTTTTGTCTTGTCGATTATCTGGGCCGGCAAGCTATCACATAAACGAAAATACCTTTCAATTACTTCGTCGTCAACTATCCGCGGCCTTTCTTGAAAATACCGATCCATCCAAGTTTCTCGCCGGCATCGGAATACAACTTACAATGTCGACGTTGACTATCGTTCCTACAGTGGATTTCCAAAATACCTATTATGTAATGCAGGACTTGCATCACACTATTAGAGGTACAAATATTCCCGAGCTTTCCGTTATGGGCGTTTTGGTAAAGCTGGCCGCCTATACTGTGAAAGAACCAAATTGCGCATCAAAAGAGTCTCAAGAATTTGTTAAAGTATGTTTAGCACGGCTACTCATACCGAACACATTCGCACCGGTCTGTACGGCGACTGAGCACATCTGGAATTATGGAAATAGACGACTGTCTGGTGCTAGCCACGAGGTGGCCTGTGGCTTAGTACTCCCGCGGCAAGTCCAGGCAGCATTCTTTCTGCAGGACCTACATCTTTTCCTTGAAGAGTTGCGCACGGCCTATTTGGTAGGCTTTCAGTGTGATTAATCAAGTCTGTGCAATATACTGCTTATCCTCATGCAAGCTTTCCCAACTCTAACAGAAGAATGGTTAAGCAACGAGCTGGATTCTATACAGTTTGAACAGTCATGGCAACTCCATTCACTTTTCGGGGTACTTCATATGTTATTAGGTCACTTCCAGAAAGGAAATTCAGATTCATTTGACTCTACAATTTGTCGCGTCGTGAATAATCTGAACAGTGTGTTGTACAAAATCACAACGGAGCTAGACATAGCTGTATCCAATGGAAAACTTCAGTGGGAAGGGCCAATCAATGCTTGTACGGTTTTTGGTCCCTATTTGGATAAACTGAAAAAGCATTTGATGCGTTTAAAACGTTAAGCCGGTTGCGTGGGTCAGTCTCCTACACCTGTGTATTGATAATTGTGGTAGTGTATACTGCGGTAGGAAACGTACATGACGAGACACAATGCTACCCTGTACTAGTAGTTTATCAAAGGTTCCCCTCTTGCAGCATTAGACTATTGCTGGCCTAGAACACTCCGTATGCATCTAGTTTAATTAGGATAAGCCATTGGCTGTACTGTGGCTGGCTCTGCGGTATATGACTAGCCAGCTCGCGAAGTTACTTAGCTTAGAGCATAGTAACTCGTTTTCGGATCAATAACTAAAACTCTGCCTGTTAATGAGCAATTATCGCAAGTACCCCCATGGTATCTACATAAAGCTAATAATGAACACTTTTATGTCGTCTATCCAAGCATCTAGTAGTCAGTAACGTCATTGTATGAGGCCAGACCATGTCTATGTGACCTAGGGGCTTGGATAACTGCTTTCACGGACTGCTTGGAAGAGGATTCCGAATGGATATCAATTTCAAAATACGTATTACTGATGTCTAGAGTTGGCGTGGCCTTCTAACCTGAGCCTATATCTCATGAGTGGACAAAAATGACAGAAGCTTGATACCATTACCTAAAATCTGTAATATTCTATTCTAAGCCTTGTACTGTGCGTCTATCGGAAAGCACTAGCCATCAATAAGGAAGGAGCCTGAAACTTGGATTCAGCTGTTGCCAGCCTTGCTTTTTTTTTTTTTTTTTTTTTTTTTATATTCTGTTGTTGCCCACGCCAAAGTTGGCCGATAGATTGTGGAACCATAATTTCTCAGTATCTGCTCGTCTTGTAATGCTGTTAATCCAATTTTATTGTCTATATAAGTAATATACCCAAGCGCTCAGGGCTTCAACTAGGCCGGTACCCATTACTCAGTCGCCAGCGCGAGAAACCCCGCGTCGCAAAGCTGAAGTGCGACAAATGTGACGCAGTATTTTCTCCAACATTCACTCACGATATGCATTTGGCACGAGGCAATTGTCAAGGCCATATTCCTAGAATTGTATGATAGTTGGGTCATACTTTTAATTAGGTCCACGCTTACAATTTTCAGCGATCCCTCGCATGCAAGGAATGCCGCCGCCGTAAGATCAAGGTAAATGATCGGGAAGCTCAAATAATACCTCTTCTAACTTATACAGTGTATACCGGCCGAGGCTTCTCCCATTCCTTCTGCACCGTGTCCGCTTTCAAAATCCGTGTCGAGCTACAACTCTCCAGAGTCGGCATCAACCTTGCGCGAGTGGACGTTTTGCTCTATCATATTTGGTTTAGAGCTAGGTTACGAAATTGTCCACCTGAACGCATCTGTGACTAAAATCGACACGCGGGTTCATTTTAAACTAACCCCAAAAACAACCATCGAGCTGATTAGGATGCATTTCATCCATTTTTTGTGGTGTCAAGCCTATAATGGAAAGCCTCAGGAGCTTGGAGACCTCAATACACGATTTGGGATGGCATTGGGTAAATACGTCTACTCAACCGACTATGATACCCTCGAAAGTCTGGAAGACGGTGACGATGTATCGGTCGATATTTCCTGTTACTTGAAGGAAAGGATTTTGGAAATGTTTTACTCTGCATAAACATTGTGCTTTGGTCGGCCTATGAAGCATGATGTTTTTGTGTTGTATGTTACTATCACTGGCGGCGCTGCAGTAATGGGTGAGCTCAATCCAACTTTGTGTGGCACCATAGCCGACCCCTGCACCTAATTGAGTGGCTGTATACCCATAATTTGAGCAGAAAGTAATTAGTAGATGAATTTCACCCTGGACCCGCAATAAAAGGTGCTGCTTGTTTTCTTTTTGTTTCCTGCACAGACTCCTTGTGACCTCCGCGTGTTGCCTGCCAAGCCACCCGCGTTCTAACATCCTAGGATGCCGGAAAGCAAAGGGCATTCTTGGCTATAAAACGTCCGTCTTCCTCACTGTGTATCTTTATCGATATTATGAAGTTAATTTAGCACAGATTGGTCCCAGACTGCCCGCACATATCCTAATCTAAAAACATGTCGCAGGAGAAAAATAGTCCTCATGCTACAGATCAGCCCCTTCTATCAGAAATACTTGTTGAAGTTGATACACTGCTTATGAGAATCGTTCGTACGGTCGGCCCTGACGATTTAAAAGGATTTTCAAATATACAGCAGGTATGAAATCAAATCTAACTCGCCTGGAGGGAACTGGTACAGGTCCCGTATGCATCCTTAGATGTCTGGTTGATCCGTCTCGAGGACATTGTCATTGTTTGCCAAGGGAAACAGCCTGATGGGTATGCGAAAGTCTCGGATCTGAGAAGCTCATAGGACGGACGCTACATGGTGACATATACATGGTTATACACGAGAGAGGAAATCATGGCTGAGTTTCAAACAGAGGATGGCTTCCCACGGCATCTCCGTAAGAACCTGGAACAAAGGTGGTCAGAAGATGCCCATTACAAGATCAGTACCAACCGGACGATCACACTCTGGGATACGCCAGTCTCGCTTGCTCCAGAAGAAGTGGTCTCGAGGGTATGCTACAGCTCCATTTACAGCACAACGCCGACAAAACGCTGGATCTGGGGTGTGGAGAACCCTGTGTTCCGGTGGATGAGGAAGATTGTCGACTGTAGACATTACTAGAAACAATCACACAGTCCAGCTGCTATAGACGAATACCATTTGAAATTGTTTCAATATGCCGCATCGGACCTTTTCTGTCGACGCATTCTTGATGGGGGAAGCAGACATTTGAGATGGGTTGAATACAGGTGGTCTTGCAGTACAGCGTCTCCTTGCGTTCCACAGGGGCATTGCTCTGGTATCTCCTGTACATGAAGATCCCAAATACGTCGCATAGCCGTGCGCCAGTGCCGGTGCAAAGAGGCCCAGATTGCAAGGCGAGGTTCAGCATCCATCCAAGCCCGGATCGCCCGGTCAAACTGGCCATGCGCCAAAGATACATCCAAGCAACGAGAAAACCAATCCCAGCAGGCTTCGCGAGCCTGCGGTGTGAGCATACCCTCCAAGCCGCTGGCAATGTAAGCACTAATGGCACCGATGGATATAGACGTTGTAAAATCCCTCGCAACGAGAAAACCACCCTGCAATGTAAAGGTGGCATGAATGCATCCAGCGGGGATGTACAATGACTGAGCGGCAGTGGTCTCCACCATGATTCCCCCCTCTAGTCGGTGCATGATCCGCGCCAGCTTACCTCTCTGGCCGTCCACCGTCCTCATTGCAACCAAGTTGTTTCGAGACGGGGGATACAGGAGCCAGATCTTCCGGCAGTCACCCACAAGTGCTGAGACTCCGTCTGCGCCATAATCTTTACACGGTATTAGCTCGGAAGACTCGCATGAGACAGGAAAACTTTACCAATATGGAGATCAACGAAGGAAAACTTTGGTGTCAGGTTGATCTGGACGTTAGATTCTTCCATGGGCTCCGCGACCGTGCACAAGTCGGAAGGACAGCGGAACCCAAGCTCGGCCAGAATCGGTAATCGCAATCCGGTGAGAAATACGGGTTTCAAGGGGTCCGGGTCCAAGAGTTGGGCAATAGCGATACCAGGATCCACAGACGCATCCACCTCCCCTTGATAATTGACCCGGAATGTCGATTCATCGTCTCTTTCAGGTGAGAAACGGTGTGTTATCGACTGTAGCGTTTCACACACCATCTCACAGAGGGATGGGTGGCGGTTGGACCAGCATTGGAAAGAAGGGAGAAGTACCGGAAGAGAAGCAGTAGAAGATAGCCAAATAGACTTGACGGGGGACGGAACTTCTGAGAGAGAGACGTGGACATGTATCAAGCCATTAAAGGCCACGCCGAATAAAGCGCTGATCCTTTCTGCCATTCCCTCCACGGCCTGAGCTGGCGCGGCGGCACAACTAATATCGCTTTCCTCTATCATCGGGGAGTGTTGAGGAGAAAATGGAGCTGGTTCGAGAGATAGGAGGGTATAGCCGGGTTCACTGGTCTTTTGGTGAGAAGATGTCGACAGGAGACGACAACGGCCATACCTGATACCTCTCACCCCAGCTCGTTCGGTTTCCACCATGATGTTTTTATCTCTGTAAAAGGATGATCTTAAATGCTTGCGTAGCCGACTGGCGTTTGAACATGTTTTCGCGCAATAGGGGCAGATCCGCATACAAGATGACACACGAAGAACGGCGTTTTGTCGAGGCCAGCTCTGGTAGATGCCACGATGGCCAGTACAGCTGCAGCTGGGTGTTATCATCGAAGGATATGTTATACTGATACCCTTAGGGAGTAGGTGTATTGGGATCAACCTTAACGTAGTAAAAGCGAATAGGGGTGAAAAGGGACGAATGGGGACGAATGGGGACGAATGGGGACGATTACGAAAGGAAACCGGAAAGAATGTTTGTCCGGGAAGAAACTCTTGCATTCGTCCCGATATACCCGCCATCCTTCATAATCTTGACCCGAGTACTTCATCTGTATATCTTTTTACCAGTTCTTGGACCCGCTTTACTTAGCTTCATATTAATAATACACATGACCAACTGCTCCCTGTTTTCATTGACTCCGCACCAGGCGTGATCGATCCGTTTGGAAAACCAGATAAAGTTCTTTCAAGTCGACTCAATTTGTTATAATGCCTATATGTAATGCTATTGCCATTGGATGTCAGACTAGACGAGGTCGCTTCCGCTTACGTGTATCTGTTTCGCAAGAGATCTTCCTAGGTAGCCTCATCCGCTTATTTCTCAATTGAGGGTCCAACACCGAACGATGGAAGTCAATGATTAGAACCCGGCTTAGCTCATCGTTCCACAGAAAATTATCCAACCGAAGATCCACTTGCTGTGCGCCCGGTATATACTCAATAAAAATGCCATTCGGAGGTAACTTGTCCTGAAGAAACATATGCAGACTTGGCCAGAGAGCTGGTTGAATTTGCGTTATCGTGCCATAGAAGTCGGGAACGACCCCTTGTTTGCATAAACCCCTTTCTTTCATGCGTCGATATGCGGAGGACTCGCGGGAAAAGAGATTCATGTCATAATCTGGAGGATCCCATTCAGTTGGACCTCTATCATGATACTTAAAAAGTCAGTAAGGTTTCAGAACTGACCAGGACACACTTACTACTTTCATCACGCAAATCCTGCCACGAACTCTGACCTTGAAGACAGCAGAATTCCCAGACTCTTGCAACATTTCAAGAAATGTCACGTCGGAAGGGTTTATTCCATCATATTCATCGGCCATTTTGACACTGTAGGAGATAAGCGCGTAGCCAGAGAAATTGGAAGAAGATAATATAAATCGCCAGTGGCAGTGTCGACGTTCATGTAACCATTGCCTTGCCGCGTATTTGTAGCGTTCCACCTACCCACCGCCCGACTCTTACCGCTTTCCATTACTGCCTACTACTACCTTTTGGAGGTTCATACGAAGATAGGGGACAGAATTCACTTGCTAGATCTCTACTTTTGAGGTAGAATTTCACCCTTTGAGCAATCAACCAATCATTCAATATCTTTTGTAGAGCCTCCTGAAACGAGGACATCCTGATCGGTGCGACCCCGCATTCATACTTATTTAGACAGGTGCAGTATTTCCATAAGCGGCTTAGATTTCCCGTCGAGTACTCGACGGGAAATCTAAGCCGCTTATGGAAATTGCTGACTTAGCTTGAAGTCCAGCCTCATTCAGCCGCTCGCCAAGTTCAAGGACTGTTGGTTAAGCGCTGAACATATGTGCGCGGAGGAAATTAACTGTCATAGGCTATTCTGTTAGCAAACTAGTAGCAAATGCCAAAAACCCCGGATTGTTATTAATCGTTAACTCAAACCGTCTCCTGCACGCTTCATTTGACCATGCCTGATAGTGCTGGAAGTTCACTGTTGGTATAATCTACAGCTGCCGAAAACTATTCTGTTGTATCTCAACAGAGTTCGCCGATTTAATGTCCCTCTCTGAATTAGTGGCTGGTGAGCAATTCCCGGACGAGCGTCGACATGTGGAGGTACCTTTCTCCCATTTATTACTGTTGTTTCTCTATAACACCAAGCATTTTAATCGCGAGCAGTTTGTCCAGGCTTATTATAACTATCAACTTCGCGAGGCCCAAGTGCATTACACAGAACTGAAGATCCCAACATGGAGCTCATTTTCCGTAAAGATACGGAAAATGCCTCGATACCTATCAACCTAAAGGATAAGAATCTTCGGATACTAAGTACAGGATTTGAATACCCAAACAAAAAAAGAGTACCAGTGGTAGATTTAGAATTTGCATTTTACCATTGGACCTTTCTTGCAAACGTTCCTATGTCTTGCATGAGGGCTCGTAATGAGTTTAGGTCTTACAATGTACTGTCCTGAATTCACAAACAGGCTGTTTTTATTACCTACAATTTTAACCTGGGCTTTTTTCTTTCTTTCTTTTTTTTTTTTTTTTTTTTCTTTCTATTCTTTATTCCTGTATAATTTTTACAATTTATTTATCACATCTCTAACTCACATGTACATAAACCGAGACTTTCAGGCCGGGCTCATAGTTCTACAATTATTCCTTGCACTGTCTCTATTCAGAAATATACTTTAGGAGTAGAACGGTATATTTAGGCTACGCACATCCTATCAAAGCTATCTATATCACAAAATCTATGAATACTTTGTTCTTTGCGGTTTTGTTGCTTATGATAATATTGCTCTGTCTTGTCCTGATGTTCTCCCTTCTACGCATCCTTTTCAGAGCAATCTCTATCCTTCCTGACCTTGAGTCAGCTATTCCTGTTCACCCTTTACGTGGCGAATGAACTTTACTCCACACACATTTCACAGCAATTATTCATTGAAGAATGAGAGTTCACGCATTATAACAATTGCTCTAGGAACACTCTCACCAAATTAGAGGTAAATAAGTGATTGCTGCCTACATGACGCCGTCTAAAACGTTTATAGTATGCTACAGCCGAAAACATCTCAGAGGGACGGGAATGTTCCAGAAACTGGTTGAACGAAAAAAGGCCTCATGTATTCCTACAAAGATTTTGCTGCATATGCAGGAGGGTAACTGGAGTGATCTGTGGAAGTGCCTGCTGTAGTTAATTTGGTCATGAGAGATGCCCAGAGTGCTTGGAAATGACAATGGAGCAATCTTAGCCTAGCGTGTACAGCAACAAAACATAATCAAAGATATGCAGTCATTTGGTCCACAGATCCCTTGTTCCACTAGCTGGCGTGGTGCTCAACTGAAGGAATGGGGTCCTTCCATCATAATTATTCGTAGTGTCTTGGTGCAACAAAGGGAATTTCGAAGAGAGGCAGAGATCTAGTGCCTACTACAGTGGGCGACATTAGCCCATTCCTGGTCCATATCATGCCTAAGAATGGACAAACCAAGGTAACTAATGTCACATAGACGGTTAAACGCCTAAGGGCGGTAGTTTTCGTCGAATAATGAATTAAAGATACTGAACGATCTGAAATAAACAAGAGCTTCGGGTTTAAAAATTGACTTTAAATGGCTCATATAATGGCCTGTAATATAGTAATTACCTCGAAGACTTCGTTGCTGGAGATCAAGAATTTTGTCATTGTCTACCCGACATTGAGCTGATGCCTTGCAAATCAGATGACCGCCCAGGGATCAGCAGTCTGTAGCGCCTTGGGCTTAAAAGTGCGCTAGTGGTCTGTTAGGAATAACGTATTACTGTTGGGCATCACGGAGAGCCCCTCCACCCCACTAACAATGCCTTGTTACAAGTCGCGCACAGCAAACACACTACGTTTTCCTATATCTGAAGATATCGGCTCTGGTTTTATCCTTCGGCGAAGAAATACGTCAAATTGAGCTACAAGAAACCCATCGATCTCCTGAGTGAATGTAGGCGACAGGCTTCCTATACGATTACGCTGCTGACTTCTTTACAGATACCGTCAGTACCTCACCTTACCTCGCTTCACCTTACTTCGCTTTACCTCACTATTCCGGCCTCGAGATCGTTTCACATCGTTTGTAATACAGAAGTATACTATGGATGAGCTTGTGAAGTTTCTTTCAAGAGCACAGTGGCGAGAAAGAGGCCAACACACCTCTATCTGCGATGATGGCAAAAACCTCGAACCATTATTAGTCAAATGCATTTCGGAAATACCTCTTTCATTGGAGGGCTTCGGTCTGCAGGTTTGGAAGACAACAGGAAATACAAGGATTTTGGAAAAAGAGGCCTATATTATACCAGTGTCCATAATTGAAGGCACACCTCGAATCATTGACGGCCCCTCGCTCATTCCAGGATCAGATCCCATTCGCTTTAAAGACAAGGCTATTATATCCGGCTCTCTTTACTACATTCTCGCAAAGCCTCCCAGTACGACAGCCCCCGAAGAGTAGCACGGAAATTTGATGGAATACGGCAGCGTCAGTGTCATGCAAAAATGGACGAAGGGATCAATTATGTCAATGTAACTAACGTGAAACTGCTATACAATATGAATCCAGAATTTCTTAAACCTTTGGCACTGCTGCTGACTGCATGTGTGTCGTATATGTGAGATTATTCGACGTACTCAATCCAGATACAGCCGAAGGATATCCAATTTGAGCAATTATATGTGTTGATCCAATATTTTGGAACCCACCTGAAGCCGAAGCAGGTATACGGCTAGTTGCATTCCTATCAGCGCCATGAAGGAAAAGCCAGTGGTCGGCTGAAGCAAGTACATCATCCAAAGAGAGATCAAAGTCAAAGGAGGTGTTCATAGAGTCGTCTGATGATGTTGACGTCTGTTGTACTGATCCTGGACCCGCGGAGGGGTATAGCCAAGGATCGGCTGAAGCAAGTACATCATCCAAAGAGAGATCAACGTCAAAGGAAGTGTTCATAGAGTCGTCTGATGATGTTGACGTCTGTTGTACTGATCCTGGACCCGCGGAGACGCCGGTTGAAGCAGGTACATCTTCTAAGCCAATAGAGGCATTTCTGTCTGTATCAGGACTTTCAAGTCTGTGTCTTCCTTTATACCGACCCGCTCCATCGACTGGACTATTGTGGGTAACAGCGCAGAGATCGTTAGAAGGCCGGTGTTGCTGAAAATTTATTGATGTCGCGTCTGTGCAGGAAGGGCTCCAAGTATCTGAAAAAAATCAGCAGTGATTAGATACTTTAGTTCTTAAAGACTCACCTAAGTGGCAACAAGATGAATTATCTTGAGTTCCAATGACTGGCATGTCTGAAGCCGAAAGGCTAGAATCAGCCTCGTATTCAGTGCGACGCCTTTTCCGCGCGCTATTACTTCGGTCACCAGGAATATAATCGGCTCGAATTTCTGCAGGCGTTTCCGAAGAGGAGCTTCTAGATCGGCTCGTACTGCTAGATTCTTCTAGCGAAACCGGCAGGAATTTGCCATGTTCCCGAAACGCCTTGAGGTCAATAAATTTTCCTAGGTGATTCATGAACGTAGTCTGATAGTCGGATTTGCCATCCCAGCCCGATATCAGCAACCCCTTGAGAACCGAGATAGCCACTTCAAAGTTTATCGCTTGACACTGTGAAATCCAATCCTGGAGATCATTTTGAACATATTCTATAGCACTGGCAATGTGACCGTCTTTGCTTCTGTTCTCAAACCTAAAGCTTGGTTAGTCACTCGCACTTCCAAATCTGCGATATCTTACCAATCCTTATTCAGGCTATCCCCGAGTAATAGAACCGCGCCAGGTCCAAATCTGAAAAAGAACGAAAGGTAATGACGCCCTTTTCGGATATCTCTCTCAACCACTCCCCTGTCTTTTCTCGAAAACTCGGATAATTTGTCTATGGTTAATGTTCTTCGCCCAACCCCTTTGGAAAGCTCACCGACTGGAATAGATCTCATGATCACTTCCAGTTCATGACCACGAAGGATATGCGCTATCCGTTGTCGGTAGATATTCTTGACCTCGTCTTTGGCGCCGTAGTCAATTATTTGTTGTAAGGCTTTGTAACGATGGATTGAATCTGTGATACGCAATTGACAAACTTCCCTGTTATCCCATAGCGTTCTGTAAAATCCTGAACCTTGAGCCTTTTTGTTTTTAATGCCTTGAATAAGCTCCGATGTGTCCGTTTTAGACCGAATATTCTTTTGCTTCTTGTTTTTCTTTTTCTTCTGTCTTTCGAATGATTCAGGCGTCACTATATTATCATCAATCGATCTTTTCTTTTGCCTCTGTTGATGTTGATTGCGGGGAGAACTAGCGGTGGACTCGACACAGGAGGGATTTGGGCCGCCAGCAACGATCGGAGGGGTGAAAGAGACGTTCCCCGATGTATGGGGTGGTGAGGGTATAATTGGCGGTTGGTGAGAAAGTCCAAGCTGTTGAGACTCGAAAGTAGGTGGTTTGAATTGGATGAATTCGTTGTATGTGCCCTTAGCAAAAAAAGCGTGGAAAATCGTCACGTAACCCTACTAATACTTAACTCCTGCTAACGAGTAATAAAGGACAGTCGTACTTCATCAATAATGGAAGATGGTGAAAGATCGTTCAATGTTGTTTGCAGAGCCCTACTTACACTCTGAATCGAGGACATTTTGTGCAAGAGACAGTATCATGACATAGAAACAAATAGGAAATAACCAATATCGAATGGTGCACAATTGTGTTGATATCTGATAGTGCTCAGGCGGGAAGACGCCTGGCCTTGAATATCCTGATCGGTGCGACCCCGCATTCATACTGATTTAGGCAGGTGCAGTATTTCCATAAGCAGCTTAGATTTCCCATCGAGTACTCGATGGGAAATCTAAGCTGCTTATGGAAATGGCTGACTCGGCTTGAAGTCCAGGCCTTATTTGGGCTTGTTCGCCAAGTGACTCCTAAATAACTACTATCGTTTACGCGCTGATCATATGTGCGCGGAGGCATCACACAGTCCTAGGCTGTTCTATTAATAAATTAGTCGGCAACTGCTACTCAAAAATCAGCACTTGTTTTATATTAATAGCCAGCGACTGATGGAGCTCAGACCATTGCAAACTACATATCTCGTAAATGCCGTCTCTGTATTACAAAAGCCTTGGCAAAGACAGGGTGTGTATAAGCTGTAGGAAGCGGATCGGGAGCTAACTGCCTGGTTACTTTGATAATAAATGATGTGGTCCGCCTCAGAGGAGGAAAGATAATCTCACCCAACCTCCAGAGTCATGGATACCGATAACCGAACTGATGCGTTTTATGATTCCGCTGGCGTAAGTTGTGATTTCTCGCTTTAAGCTTTTCTGACCCAGACAGCGTCCTATCTGTGTTCATTTTGAATGCTTGCGCGGACATCCGCACGACGTATCAGGCGAGCAGGAAGCCCACCTGGGGATTCAGGATATCAACACTCTTTGCAACTCCCTGGCCCACGAGCTGAAACAAATTTCCACGAGCTTCATGGCAATTCAACGAAGACTTAGCGATATGGAACGTGAATGTGCTGTTCTTAAAAGCCAATTGCAATCCACAGAGACTGCTTACGAGGTGAAGAGTCTATTGTATGAAACAACAAAACTGTTCCTCGACAGGGCACTGGGGGCTCTTGAGAGACAACGGTATTCGGTCTAGGCGAAGATGGCATACTTTTGAAGAGCATTTGCCAGCTGAAGGCGGGGTTGAGAGAATACGAGGGTTGATCATTCCTGTCTCTCTGTACAGTCTTTCCGAGAAACGGTGTCACCGCCTACTCTCCTTCCTTTCCTAAGAACTCATTCCCGAGGCACACTATCCCTTTGTAGCTAAGATCTGGCGACAGCTATCCACTCATGTTTAGAGTAGTCCACAAATCGTTCAGCTGGGGGGCGTTCTGTCTTGGCATTAGGCTCTGGAAATGAACGAAAGAGTGCAAGTGGTGAACACCGTTTTCTGGAAAGACTCTACCTAGTACCGGTAGTAGGCAGTAATGGAAAGCGGTAAGAGTCGGGCAGTGGGCAGACGATACGCGCCTATTGCCAATGGTATCAAAATGACTGATGAATATGATGGAATAAACCCCTCCGACGTGACATTTTTTTAAACGTTGCAAGAGCTGGGAATTCTGCTTTCTTCAAGGTCAGGTTTCGACGCAGGATTTGCGTGATGAAAGTAGTAAGCGTGCTCTGGTCATTCCTGAAACATTACTGGCTTTTCAAGTATCATGATAGAGGTCCGACTGGATGGGATCCTTCAGGTTATGGACAGTTGTATGGTTGTTGCGGTCCTGCGTCCTTAGGTAATGAGGTTCTTCTGGATGTCCAAATTCAAGGCATGGTCTTTTACATGAAACACCCTAAAAAAGGTTGCACTTGTTCCCGTTTCTGCTTTAGAGAGCATATACATCTTGAATTTCCATCTCCCGTGGTTCAGAATACCGGGTACCCTAACTGCGTGACCATTACAACATACTCCCCAAATTTACAACCACTTTCCGAGCCTCTCGAGCTTCATTGAGTTCCAGTATCAAAAACGCTATCGACTTCTTATCTCCCTGCTTCGCACCTTGAAAAATATTCGCGAATCAATATGAACGGACCTGATGGAGTGTACGAACGTCTGCTGCAATCCTGCAATGTCGACCCGAATGCGATAGATCTAGGTCAACCTCCCCTAATCTCCGCTGTTCAGCTTGGCTCAATGTTGGTCTTCGATCAGCTCCTACGAAAGCCAAATGTGGAGGTGAATATCGGAGACCAGCAACAGCGAGCCGCATTATGGTGGGCTGTCCATAGAGGACACATCGAAATGACACAACGGCTTCTTTCGCATGAAGATATCCTCATCGACTGTACGAATACGAAAGAGGGCCTTACTCCATTGGCGATTGCTGCGCGCTACGGTCACCTCCAGATTATGCAACATCTCCTCGAGACGGGCCGGCCAAATGTCAATTTTAGTGATAACTGCGGACAAACTCCCATTTTCCACGCAATCGGCAGGCGCAATCAAAGAGCTTTTGAAATATTGTTAGCCGAAGATACCATCAACCTTGCACACCAGGATAACCAGGAGCGGTCCCCACTGAGCTATGCTGTCACCGAAGGTTGCCAATTCGCGGTGGAGATGCTGCTGGAGAAAGGCGCAGATATGTATTTGGATGAAGGGAACAGACTCACTGCCTTCCAGCGAGCTGTTTAAACCAGAGACCCTGAAATAGTTGCACTCATGCTTGGGTATGCGTCAGCTCGGCCGATTTTGGGCGATATGGACCGGCCAGAGCGTGAACGACGCGCCCTTCACCTAGCTGCTGCAGATGGAATGGCCGACATAGTGGGTATGCTCCTCGACTGCGGTTATGATGTAAATGCACGGGATATATTTGAACAGACGGCTTTACATCTGGCAGCATCGCATAATCATCCGTCTGTCGTTCGACGACTGCTAGAAACCCCAAACATCAACGCTCTTGCGAAGGATCGCTACCGCTTCACGCCTTTACATGCGGCGGCACAAGCTGGATCAGCCGAAGCCGTGAGCCTTCTTTTAGACAATACGAACATTCACTTAAACTGGGAAACTGCCCACGGCGCTACAGCATTATGGCTAGCAACTGAAGGTGAACACGATGAGGTAGCCGAGCGACTACTGCAGGAGCCCAGCATAGAGGTGAATGCTGTAGAGAAAGACATTACCCTGGGTAGATCCACCTCTCTCCACCATGCTGTGAAGAACAAGAGTCTACGAATTGTAAGCCAACTCCTCCAAAAGTCGAGCCTGAATCCCAATCTTTTGGATTATGCTACGAGGACCCCGTTATGCTGGGCAGCCGGCGCTGGGGACGACCAGATGGTGGTCTGGCTCCTCGAACGAGGCGATCTATTACTGAACGCCGTTGCGGAAACAGGGCAATCTCCCTTATGGCTTGCAGTACAAGGAAATCATCTTGAAACGGTAAAGCGCCTGCTTCAAGCTCCTGCAATTGATGTTAATAATGGCTGGGCGGACCAAACCCCGCTATTAAAAGCTCTAAAGTGTGCACACCTTGACGTTTCGCATATGCTTTTAGAGCATGAGAGACTCGACATCAATGCTCGGGACGGTCAGGGTCACTCTGCATTGACCTGGTCTGTGTGTGCGGGGTGGAACGAAATTGTGCAGAAGATCCTCCAAAGGACTGACGTGGAAGTTAATGAAGCAGCAGAATAGTCTGCGTTGTGGTGGGCAAGGCACTTCGAGCGGTCTGCAATGGTGAAGTTATTGGAAGACTATCGGCCTTCTGCGTCTTCTATTTCCCACTATTAGACGCTTGGCTAAATGTAAGCTCATAAGGCTACCTGTGAAGCTGGGCGGCAGGAAGTCACATGCAATTTATTTCAATATTTCTTCCATTGACACTATCGCTGTCTTTGAATCTAAGTGGGGGCATTGTGGCGTAATTTTGTTGAATAGGGAACGACATATTATGGTCGGGGAAAAAAGCTGTAGTTTCAGATCGTAACATTTGCCCTTCTTGCTGCTGATTCATACGAGCATTATTCTGCCTTGATTAAAGGGGAAACGAATACCCCCAAGGATAAAATAAAAATAGGCGTTATGCATTTCGTGGCCAGAAAATCACAGAGACAGAGGATTATATCAGACTTTCCTAAAGGCAGCGATGTGACTGACTGTCGCACAGACCCCTTGAGCTGACCTTCGCGTGTTGCCTGCCCAGCCACCCGCGTTCTAGCATCCTAGGATGCCCAAAAGCAAAGGGCCATCTTGGCTATAAGTTGCCTGTTTCCCTCATTTTATGTAGCTATATCCGATATGTCCAACTTTGCTCAACCTGACCCCAAATCGCTCGCGTATATCCTGTTCTAGAAATATGTCGGAGGAAATTGGTGACCGGGCCCACCTATCAGAAATACTTGATGAAGTTGATACGCTGCTTATAAGACTTTTTGGCACGGTCGGCCCTGACGATTTAATGACAATATTAAATATACAACGAGTATGAAATCAACCTAACTGGCCAAAGTTACCTTGTGTTAATCTCATTAGTTCCATGATATGATATATAGGCTTTGCGACAAAGCTCCTGATATTGCGCGAGGGATCGCGAATACGATTCAAGGGAGACTCGGTTCTTCGCAAAAGCAGACCACCGGTGTGAAAAGCCATTCACCTACACGGAAACGGAGGCCAAACCCGGATGTCTCCTACCGTCCGAGTAAGTCTTTTAAGACAAGCAACCACTTGTTGAGGTATGGATTAATAAGTAATTTTAAGTCCAAGAACTAACAAAAGTTGCTAGATCTAATAGAAAAAATGGAATTCAGGGCTGTATCGATGACAAGGTACAGTCTGACAAGGTACAATCCACAGTGATCCCCAATACTGGCCTTTCAGCGGAGGCGACGAGTGCTACCACCGAGACAACGGACGAAGAGCAACCATCGGAGCCCACGGAGGTTTCAGGGACAAAAGACACAACACCATCACTCCCTTTAACAGTCAATAACTCTATTACAAGAGATGACTCTTTTATGGAAGATGTCTTCGAGATGGCCCAAACTATTCATCGGCTGAGCCATAACCGTGATGGTACCCCGAGTGATATCCATAAAAGAATTTTCAAATTGTTTCAAGGCAATCATGCAGAAAGATTAGCAGCCTCTACAGGAAAAACATGGTCAGATGGCTCTATATGGATGCAGATACTTGATATGGGATCGGCCCAGCAAAGAAAGATAACCATTCTCAATATGTTGGAGTATATGGGGGCATGGGAATGGTACGATGGTCAGATCAGAATTGCACAAAGCACAGTTTTCACCAAAAAGGGTAAGCTGGTAGATCGCCGAGGGGCGGCCACACACGTGCTGAATAGCATAGAAAGGCCTGAAGAGCGACCGAGATGGATCAGTGGAGTTGGAGAAGTTACAGTACATAACGAGGCAGTTCATATGTCTAAGGACCGCCTATCTACTATCAGTGAGATTCAACGCTTACGGCGAAAGCAAATTACCACGCAACTCAGCAGAGGCCAAAAGTTAACAACCCAGCTTGTCAAGGAGCTAGGCATTGGAATACTATTCCATCCGAAGATCTGGTATGGATTTATCTATAACTGATGTTTTCTGGTCTATTAACATGGAATAGGGAGTTCACCAAAATGGATGCTTCAAAGCTGGACTGTCTAATACAAGACGTCAAAAACAACACGTATTATATGAAATTACTCCATATTCTAAGTTCGCAATTGGAACTTCTCCTCTGGAAGGGCTTCCCGGATCTTGACAAATTTTATACCGATCTACAGGAAGAGGATTTACTTGCAGATAATGAGCTAGAAGAGCTACAAAGTACCTTTTTTATGCAGCATGTGAGTATGGCTTATCGATGATTGAGATTACACTAATCCAGTTCGGTTAGGGAAACCTACTGCATAATAAAGTCAGCACGGCAGTGGATAACTTGATTAAGAGGATTCGAAGCAGTATTCTGGCCGGGTCCAAGCCTGGCTACGACGGTTTTACTGTGAGCGGAAGTGTGGAGTTGTCATGCGATGTGTTCCAGCGATTTCATCCAGGCAAGTGGCTAGATGCCTGGGCTATCTTGGCAGCTATGCACATATCGGATAAACCAGCAAATGTCACATACAATATGAGCATTCCTTTGGATGAGGATAAGAACAACCAGGTTCAGCAGATTGAGAAACCATTGTCACGATGGGCAAAGAAGATCGAGAAGCACAAACAGACTTTAGGCCCAGCGCCTCTGGTTCATTTTTGTCCAATAAACCATCGGAAAAACCACTTTACCCTACTGGAACTTAATGAGAAGGAGGAGATCATACGTCACTACGACTCTATGGCAAAACCAGATCCTGCCAAAGCCATCAAGGAGACCCGTCTCTCAAAACTGGTCCAAGAGGAATTCGGCAGCCTAGGATTCTCGTTTCTAGAGGCAGTGAGTTATAAAGCCTTTTTTCTAATTTGCTTATAGCCATGAGTAACATAATTGCAGCCTACTCCCCAGCAAAGTGATAACTGGAGCTGTGGTATCCGAGTTGTGTGGAACTTCCGGCAATTATCTAATGACCTTCCGATTGGATCATGGAATACAGTGTTGAGTCCGGAATCTATGGCACTAGAAGTTGTGAACGGGTTGATCACTTGCGTTGAGGAGAATACTATTAGGAAGTGTAGATAAACATACCTCTTTCAAGTTTCTATCATTGGGTTAAGGCTTCTTCGAGTTGGCGTTAGATTAAGAAGATCAGTCTATTCTATCAGATGATTTTATTTCTACTTGTACTTGTAGGCGTTAACCATTTCCTTTTGAGTAGCCGCCTTAGAAACAACTAGGATACGCTCATAGTTTGTTTGCTCGTCATAGAGTATCTCATCCATGGCCTTTTGTCTGACTTCTGGAGTAATGATCGATTCATCTTTCGTAATGGGCTTGGAGCTGGAGGCGGGATTTAACCTCTTTTGTGGTCCGAAAAGAGGAGTGCCGGAGACGGATTGCATCTGTCCCGTGTATTCATGACTCTGATCATACGCAGTGCTTGAATCTCTGGCTTCTTTTGGTTATAGTTCCATAATTGTGGCATTGGGGTCCGTTATATTCTGAGGGACAGTAGGGTGAGGGACAGTAGGGTAAGATAGATGAGAATGGCCACCGTATCGCAAACGATCTACTTGATAAAAGTCTGGTTTATCTGCGTAATAAGATATTACAATCGGTTCTGCGATCAGCTGCCCGGGCGAATAATATTGCCATTGCCCAGGAAATCCTCGAAAAGAATCGTTTAATCACTTCACTAAAGACGCTGTTGTCCATTGCCTGCTCAAGGGATCATGTGGAGACTGTGGCGCTTATAGTCAACTCTTTAATGAGAAAGGATGAGATAACTCCTGTCGTTTCACGACACCTAATGACGCAACGCGCCAGACTCCTCGCAAGGCTTATACAGGCATCTATCCGGAACAAGTCGTATTCGATAACATCAATTCTGCTTGCATCTTACCTTGAATGTGATATCCACCTTAATACGTCATCTGGTATGTATGCTTTGAATGAGGCTGCTAAGAAAGTCCAGGATAACGATTACGCCACCATCCCTCGCAAAATATATCTTAAAATGCTCTCGTCAAAAGAGTGTACTGATGTCCTGAAAGAGGATTATGGGTTGTTAGAAGTTGGCAAAATATGTACGGCAACTATAAGCAGCAGAATTGAAACTTCGTGTTCAAGGAGCGATGAACGGATCTGCAGCCGCCCAGATACATGTCCATTGATTCCTGTTTTAGCCAGTACAACTACTTGCACTTATATGTGGCTAAAAGAGGCACACAAATTTTCCCGAAAGCCCGATAGACCCAGACGATGCTCTATAATGAATGAATTAGATGAGAATAAATAAAAGAAAAGACTGTGATGAAACCATTCCTTCATTCCAATAAAGAATATTAAAGATCTTATGTATATAAACTGCAAACTCATACAGTATTTCTATTGTATACCTAGTTGTGAAACCAATATCACCCCCAGTATAGTCTCTTTTGTTCTCCATAACTCTGATTCCGTACGAACAGGGTAAAGCACCGGATAAAAGACTTGGAAAATAGACATGATTGGCCTACGATTTAAGCTTTACTATCTACAGTCTAGTCTCTACTCGATACAATAACGAGAAGTGTCCGGAGGGTGGCATTGGTTCCGACTTTCTATGTATCCTATCTCAGGAAGTTTGTACATACATATCTAAAGCTGAGGCGTTAGGAGGTATCCAGGTATCTGCAGAGTACCTAAACAAAGACAAATGTTATATTATGAAGAATCGACTTCTAGCCCTGTGGCTACTTTCTCAGCCGGGATATATGGGACTTGGTTCTCATAAAAAGGTATCTTTTTACGGACCCTATTACAATGACATTGTTTTGATTATTCAAAGGTAGATGTATACTGCTATTCAAACAAACACGCTGTTCCGATGCACGATATTATATATCCGATAACATACTTGGAAAAGTCCCCTTATCTCTGGGAGTATAAGAAGGGTTGTTCAACCGTTGCCAGCTGGAAAGGTGCAGGGATTTACATATGTCATGAGGTAAAGTTAAATCTCTGTTATACTTCCCTTCCATGAGTCTAGCTAAGTGCGTAAAGGGATCAGATGCTTTAATAATTCATTCAGCTGAAATAGCCCGGCTGGCCTGGGAAGGTAAATATACGTGTGGATCAGCAGAATACCCAGTGGTTGTCTCTACACAAAGCAGTAATTTAGTCTTTCTATCAAAACCTATATAATAATATAGCTTTTGGTTTTATAATTCGAAATAAAACTTCAATATATTCTAGATATGATGAGCTGCTAGAGTCAATGGCTGAATGAGTCTATTAATAAAGAAAGTATCCTTAGAATAGGCTGGGGCTTAGGTGCTTATATAGTTCAAACCCTTCTTATAATCCCTTATAAGATATAAGTTATTTATAGTTCTAAAGTTTTTATGAATTTGGTAATCCCCTTAGATGCCTTTTATTTTACTATATGTCCTGTAGTATCAGGTTGGTTATTATCTCTAGTAGTTAGGCAGACAGGTAGTACATGGATCTTGATACCACGATTCATCAAACACTTCTGGGTATGCTCCGGCCTTAATTTAATATCATCTTAGCTATAGGGGCTTGATTCGGAGTCCTTGTATGTAAAAGCCATCAATAAAACATTACCCATGTTTATCATTTGGACACTGGAGAGAAATATGTAGCTCTATACAGAGAGCTGGGAAGGATCCAATTATATCCCTTCTACAGCCTGGGCAGCGTGGAATCCAACGTTGATTGAGTAACAGCACACGGGCAGCTGTAACTACCCCATCTGCCTGGTCAAGAATGGAGTCGTGGTAGAGCTTGTTGATGCATGTATAACAAAACGGATGACAACATGCCAGCACTATTTGAATGCTTCTGTTATGACATATCTTGCATATAAGTTCACCTGGATAATTTGACTAGATAGAGGCGAGGAATAACTCTTAGTATTATCATTCAGAAAACTTACTAGAACAATCCGACAACCCATCTTCATAATTGATATTAACCGAATTAACTGCAATAGTTATTAGTTATCTATAGTACTAGATAGCTAGATCAAACACCTTTCAAATTGTCCTCTCGCCAATTATTGGGATACTGATCTCTCTGACTGTCATAGTCAATATTATCTAAATAAATATATAGCTTGTTAAATAGTATTCGGTCTAAAGGGATTTCAGACTTTACCGCGCTCACTATCTCTTTGGTTGATAACCACAACCTCGAAGTGCGAGGTAAGCCGCTTGCTTGACGACATAAGTGTTCGAATTCTTTTAGTTAATAGCAAGCTTTGAAACTTGGTTTAGCTGAGTTCTTATGATTTAAATGGATATGTAGCTACATCAGACACATGATACTCTATCGTATATGTTCATCATTTATAATGTATAAAAGGTCCTTATATCATGTCATCTAACCTAAAACGCCACCAATTCGTCTAGTACAGTAACCTTGAAATTCTTAGGACAAATTGCAATATCTTTATTCGAATACGAGCGAGTAACATCAGACCATTGCTATGTCATAACTTCACGCGCTGCTAGCACCCCAAACGCGTGGTTTACTACGTTAATAGTGCGCTTTATAGTCACAGAATTAGCGCGTCCGGACTATAAATATCACTAGACTTATCGCTCTACTTCCTCAACATCTATTCCTGTAACTACAGATCTCTTTTTATCTATTGGCCTTCTTGACTATGAACTTCTTCCCACCCGGAAATGTCGAGAGACCTATTCTTAATGAAGGTTATAAATCCTCTTTGCCTGTATCTTACGAGGAAGAAAACAGGCTCAGTTCAAATACCCTGCAATTAATCGAGGAGGAAAGTGTTTGTCCAGGCGATACCGCTCCAATTACTCCTTACACTCCCCAAGAAAGCCAGCCATTTGACCAAGACCCCGTCTGGGCCCTAACGCAAAATGAGAGCCTCCAATCAGGAGATGGAAACTATACAAAATTGGACTCCGAATCTGAGAAGACTGATAGTGGGTGATTCGATTTCATCTGGATATAACGTGGAAGTACAGATTTCTCCAACTGGTGAGGCTGGAGACAGCACGGGTTAGAAGAAGACCAGCCAAGATACCGCCAACCACAATGGCATAAACGTCTTGCCCCTGCATTCTTCCTTTAAGATAGTAAACGTGGACTCAGTCTGGATGAAGTTCTCCGGGAGAAGTTAAGCCTATTTATATATGATGTGCCGACAGTATGCGGTCTATCTGCGGTATGGCTCCAAAATAGATTGTATTCTGCGGAAAGTCAAACGCCACTGTCCCGTCGTTCCGCAACGGCCCTCAGAGCGGTGGTTTACAATATATAATAGACATCCATACACCATAATTTGAGATTATTCTGTATCTCATCTACCTAGAAATTTGCGCGATGTCTAACAAAGCTGTGTTCGTTAGAAAACGTCGCTCGGACAGTGTCCGGGCAAAGACACAGCAACGCCACAGGCGTAAGAAGGGGCTCTTTAAGAAAGCCGCAGAATTTAGCCTTGAATGCGAGTCTGACGTCTTTTTGGCCGTTCGGATCAACAAAACCGGACAAATATATATCTTAGGTTCATCTACTCGGAAAGAATTGTTAGATACATTATCAAATTTGGTAAGGCCCGTTGGATTTTTCACCTCACAGGACTCATATCGCTAGGCAACATACTATCCTCGGCCCATCGAGCAAAAATTGGACGACATTATATCTCAAGCAGAGAATCGTCCGCCATTGGATCCGTCGTTAAATTGAGGATAGAGAGAAAACCTGGGGCCTAGCACGTCTCATCGACTCATTCTTTAGACTACATAGTTCGCTCCCCACAATGAAGTTGTTTACTGTGCATGAACAATGGATCTCCCAATATGCGATTTCCGAGCCCCGAGGCACCCGGGTCAGCGTATTCGCAACTTCCTGCGGGGTATCCTCCCTCCTGAATGAACGTACCGCAAAATTTGTCCGACCCTCGTAGCGGACGGTACTGTTTACACGAAATCGGTTAGAAGCGGTCCAATAGGGGCTATCTGTGGTTCCCCACATCCGCAGCGAGTATCTACCAATCATTGCCCGATAACGCCAAGTTTCCGATTCCTCACTGACAGGAGCTATGACAAAAGAAACAAGGATTAAGAGACACGGACTCCCATCAGTTCAGTATAAGGCAGTATCTCTATACGCCCATCGGACTGCAGAATCGATATTATTAGTCTTGCAGAAAGGCATTCTGTAGTGTCAACCAATCGTGTCTTTGCGGAACCACCGCATCCGCAGGTGCTTGCGAGCCAACCAAGGTGACGTCACTGTTTCCAAACACTTGTTCTGAAGTATCAGCTGAGGCGCCAGCACCGCGTCACCTGGACAAAGCCCATCGTCTTCGTCCTACTGGCCATAGAATGACTCACACATATGTTCGGTAGCAATGCACATTCTAGCGGGTAGCCGCAGGAATCGTGGAAATGGAAAATGAGTGTAGTGAGGGATGATAGTCGGAGTTATCGATGAAGTTCGGTACGCAACGAGATGGGTGTTGGCCGGAACAACAGCCTGAGATTCGAGGGAAACACCGTAGAGATAGTGAGAAATAGCTGATTTACAAGACCGGGCCCGAAATAAGCCGGCAGGCATAAGAGGTAAGTTGTTAGAGGGGGTCCGACAGATAGTTCCAAACAACTTCCGGTAATGCCTAGCCTCCAAAATAAGGCGTACTGAGGTTGAAGAGGACGAACCCTGGGCAAATGCCCAAGTGGAGCCAAGCCCTCGATTTATGCAGACATCAGAGATGTAAATAAGTATTATTAACCACCTCTACTGCTCACAAGCGGTGGGGCGGTTCCCGCATAACCATCGATTATGATAGGCTGGGACGGCGAATGAAATCACCCGACCTGACGCGTCAGGCAAACAACAACACCCTGCAGAGTCTCTTCTCACCCACCTGCTTTCATATCAGTGATGAATCCTTTGGGCCTACCCAAAACCATCACAGTTTGATAATGACTAGCATACAACGACATCCGAAATGTCTCAGCAAGAGCTACAAGATCTACGCCGGCGCCTTGAAGAGGAGCAACGACTACGAGAAGAAGAACGACGACTACGAGACCAGGCTGAGGAACAACTGAGAGCTCAAATGACTCAAATCCAAGAAACGACACTCCCCGAATTCCTTGATGGCTGCCATCTGCATTTATTCCTCGGGCTTTCCATACAACAAGATAAAAGCTCATCAACCAAGGGCGATCCAGCAAACGCCGACCGCAAACTCCGCCCCGATAAAATTCGTGAATGGGCCAGTTTTCCGACCGAACAGGCTTCAATATGGAAGGGCTTGATGGGCAACAAGTTTACGACGGAGCGTCATTTTACACCTCTTTTGGCTTTAAAAGAATACGGGAAGGAGGCCCGGCAAAGGATGGTAAGCTCCGAGTTGGATTTAGGATACTTTCAAAGACAGACCGTGGAGTCGCGCGTCGCTTCCGTCGTGACACAGCTTTACGCGAACCCTCAACTTCGGCAAATCTTTTGTTTGAAGGGCGATATCGCTTTCGAAAACCACGCCAACACCTTAACAGATGAGTCGAATATGGTCGCAGACATGGGCTCTCTGAGCTTGTCTCAAGGGCAGCCCCGTCGCTCGAACCGCTTAGCCGCAAAATCCAAGGTCGGCCGTGCAGCGCAATCTCCGCAGAGAGGTCAGAAAAATACACAAACACGGACTTCTCGGCCTCGAGCAGACCAGTTCTGTGTTTACAACAAAAGCCCAGAAGAGAAGGTTCCGGCTTTCATTGTTGAGTACAAGGCACCTCACAAGGTCTCCCTAGCTCACATCAGGGCTGGCCTTCAAGATATGGATCTGGACGAGGTCCTCCATGTGCAGGGAGAAGAATCACCCGAGGACATATGTCGTCGTATTGTGGCCGCAATCATTACTCAAACGTTCTCTTATATGATCCTTTGTGGGGTAGAGTTCGGCTTGGCCTGCACCGGTGAGGCGTACATATACCTTCGCGTCCTGGACCACGATCCTTCTACAGTGTACTACTACCTTTCTGTGCCGAAGGAGGATGTCGGCTTAGCCACCGGATGGACAGGCGACCTCGATAGCGACAATCGACTGCATCTGACTGCAGTCGGCCAGATGGTGGCGTTCACTCTTCGCGCTTTGCGAGAACCGATACGAGATATCGCCTGGACAAACTGGGCGGCCGATGAATTAAAGACTTGGGAGATGATGTACGACGATCTTTTGGAGGAGATCGCGGAGAAGGACATCCCTGCTTCTGACTTTAAACCATCGCCTCGAAGTCGCTTGGAATACTCCCGAGTATCTCCTGTCAAGACTAGATCCAGATCTGCCGTTGTCGCGATCTGTAACCCTTCGCGGGGCTCAAGACCATCCGGTCATGATGACTCTGAAGATGGTTTCGATCCTAATACTCCAAGTCGACGACCTCCAGAGTCCCGCCTTTCTCACCCATCGAGTTCCTCGTCTTTATCGACGGGTCTTAAATCGCACGGATCACGCTCCCAAGGCAAGTCACGGCAGTACTGCACCCAAGAGTGCCTTCTAGGCCTGGTCAAAGGGCGGAACTTGGATCGAAATTGCCCCAACGTGTCTGATCATGGGATTGAACGACACCGATTAAACCGGACAACCCTTATGCGACGGCTCAAGCAGCAGCTCTCTCATCCTAGTTTGCGCCCCAACACAAAATTAGGGTGCGAATCGCTACATGTGCATGGGAAACGTGGGGCACTTTTTAAAATCACTCTCTGGTCTCACGGTTATACATTTGTGGGAAAAGGCGTGCCGATGGAATTTGTGAACGGTTTGAAGCACGAGGAGCTCGTATATTCACGTCTTGCCTCAGTTCAAGGGACGTTTGTGCCAGTTTTCCTTGGCAGTCTGCAGCTTCACCGCCCGTTTTCATATGATGGTATCGCGGAGATCGTTCAACTGATGTGTATGGGCTTCGCCGGAAGAACTCTTGCCCGTCAGCATGCGCTCGATCGCCATCAGATGATTCAACGAGCAGGGATATCCCTGCGAAAGATTCATAGTTTTGGTGTGCTTCATAGCGATCCCATACCGGGGAATATGACCTGGAACGAGCAGGACCGCTGTGTGATGTTTATCGACTTTGAGCGCTCAACCCTACAACCTCAACGCCGAATGCCACTGGGTCTCATTTGTAATCAAAAGCGCAAACGGGAGGCCGGACCCTTGGAGAAGAGTGCTAACAAACGTCTGGACTGTTTTGAGCGGGAGAAAAGGCGGATGATTAATGGGCTATAATGATATGCACTTAATAGACTGTTTTTAATCGCTCATTGGAGTGATATTGCTATTCTGCTTTGGACGGCAAGGATACCTAATCACATCAATCCTCCGTGTGCCTTCCACCGACAGCTCCTATTTGATTCAATCCATTGCGGCAGACCGCCAAGGCCTTGCGGCTTGCGTATACTGGTAAATTCTAGGCTGGGATTGAAGGGAGGCAATTCTTTATCTTAATTAAGTATTGCGACAACACCCCAGCTTCTGTCCTCAACCTGCGTCCTGCGTCCGGTGTCCGAAACTCAACCCCTCCGGAGACCACTGGCAAATAGCGATGATCACTGGCCTCTACTGACCATCATTGGCGACCACTATACCCTGTTGGTCTAGGTTCCGGCGAATACTCCCTACGCACCCTGTTATGAGTTGTGCGCCGCGTTCCTGGCATCGTTTGGTGTTCAGTGGCTGCCCGTGGAGATTGATTATCGAATCTGAAACGTTGTTGCCTCCACTGCCACAATGACTCATACTCGATGGCACTCACCCCCGTCCTATGTTTTATTCTCGATGCCGCCTGTCTTATAATATTTTATAATTCGGTATGCACAATCCTGCGATGCGTTTATACTTGCAAGCATTTTGCGTTTGAATTCTTTAAAAGGACTTGACTTATATGATTCTATCGCTATACTTTGGGCTTCTGGGCCTTATTCGTCCAGCGTCCTCCAGCAGCAGCATAGGATGAGAGCAAATGTTAGCAGTGATGGAAAGATGCCACTGCTGATCGCTGGTGGTCGCTGGTGGTCGCCGGTGGTCGCCGGTGGTCGCAGGCACCTGGTATACCACCGGCTGTTCCAGTTTGAAAACAAAGAAAGCATAATGGCCACATGAACGCTTGGCCCGAATACTTAAACCCAGCTTTTCTCCTGTCCGTGAAGCCCGAGACTACTGAACGTATAAAACATGGCGACAAAACCGAGAAAGATCCAACACCGAGTAGTGAAGGTCTTAAGTCAAAACGTCAGCAGCGAACCCGCCGGAAAAACAACCTGTTCCTAAAGTCGTTCGAGTTCTGCAAGGTGTGTGACGCGGACATCATATTGATGGTTCGGTTAAAACACAATGGACAGATCTCGGTTTTCAACTCCGACGGCCAATGGAATCCCTCGCAAGAGGAACTGGTATGATTCTATCCCGAGGTTTATCCTAGTATGTTTTCTAACTATGTATAGGCAGTATATTACCCAAAACTGCAACGAATAGAGTGGGAAGATTTAGCTGCCAGGTATATAGACAGAACCCAGTCGAAAAGTCCTAGTGACAAAGCAATTGCCTGTGACCCGGAGGAAGCCAATAGACACGAGACAGCGCCATCCGACGCCTAGGTTCCTTGCATCTGGAGAGTTGCTATTCCGTTTGGAGGGCTACTGCGTTTGGAGGGTTACTGCGTTAGCCTAATCACTGCAGGTCTATTCACAACATGCGGAACGAACAAAGCTACGGACTCAACTAAACTTTGTTTATCACAGCGATTGAATCCGGATGGTACTAGGGAGTTCCTATGTCTTCAGATAGGATGGCATTCTGAATATGAATTGAAACAATGGAAGCGCTCGTGTGATGTTCAAAATATTTGACCAAAGCGGGCTTTGCCCTAGTTGCTGACGCTAAAATGGAGCATGGCATATATTAGATAGGAAAAATTGCTTAAACAATCTGTATGCAGTCCTATAGCAAGCAAAGATTTGTCGTTCTAATGCATTTATTAATGTTTTGCATTCAGAGTAGTTAATCATCATAAGATCTAGGAATTGTATATATATATGTTGTACTATATAGTTCGAAGGGCTTTATTTGTTTAAAATTAGTAAAGCTCACATCAGCGCGTTAGCTATTTCCGACTAAGCCCTCCAATCTACCATAGTATCTTTCCAATAAAAGATATATGAGCGACGACTTTTTCGTTTCTTCTCAAAGCCTAATACTAAGATAAGAGGCTCCGTAATTCTAAAATGTGATTATCGCACAGTACAGTATGACAACCAGCGGCAGGAATATCCCGTAATATCTAGCCACATAGCCCTCTAAGTCATCTCCGAAATGATGATATTATTGTAGAATAGTTAGCGTATCTTCGGTTGCCTTCTATTGAAGCGACTGAGAAGTTATCCCTCTCATTTCTTGTGAAGACAAATTGCAACCTTGTTCCAGAATTGACAAGGTTAAGTGCCAAGACGGGCCCAATTGCCTTTTGTTTGAAAATAGGGCCTCCAATACCGACAATCTCAGGCGACTCGACTACATTGACTTGCTTGTCGGTAAAGAAAGAATAACGAGATTGCAGTTTGCCATCCTGAGACTTGACAAGTCGCTTCAGACGCTTTGTCCCTAGTGGAACCCACTCATACCCGCGCAGCGGTTCAGAGATATTAAGTACGACGCCGATAGCTCTGAACAAAATCTCGTTGCTTCCCTTCTTGAATTGGTAACCGTCTCTTAAACATTGGCAAAAAAGTTTCTCTTCATCTCTCGTCTTTCGATCGCCGGATGTCGCCGGATGTTTTGTATTTCGTATCACCAGATAGATCGGCACTGTGTAGCAACATGAATATGGTTTTGTGTTTCCTCTGATCGGTAGGCACCGTGATGTCATCCAAATTGTAGCCGACAAGAAATGGCTTGGCACCAAATTCGTTCACAATTTTGTCAAGCCATTCTTCGCTTTTAAAAATGGAATTCCAAAGGTTGAAGGCCGTAGCCTCACGTGGATGCGGCTTGATATCAATGGCGCGATGTACAGAAGTGGAAGATAGAAGTGGAAGATGACCGACTATACGGTCGATTATCTCACGTGGCAGGAAGATCATTGTTATGGGAGGTTTTATAAGCCTGTATTCGTTTGCACGTTGAATAAAGAGGAGAACAAAGACACTGGACAACCTTCAACAGCTGATGCTGCTTATATACCCTCGAGCTCGTGCCTCTTGGCAGCCGACGTATTCTAAACATCATCTTTGGCTCCTCATCCTCAGTCAGGTCAGAAATACTAAGCGGCATCAAATTGCACCCGATTACGCTGCGTTCGGATCATAGTACCAGAATCTGAGTGGATCCTGGCAAAACAAAATTACGTACGCACGAGATCATACAGAGGCACCCGAAATGTCCTTCTGCCTTTGACATGGACAAATTGTTTTCCAAACCCTAACCTAAAACGAATCGAGCTAGTGCCAAGGAGAATGGGTACGGATGAGAAAAATAAGTTTCGTATCGAACAAGTAACTGTCACTGAACACTTGGTATTCCGTACGTCACGGCAGCGAACCAGTCTGGGTACCGCCTTTCTAGATAGACTCTTGACTCTCGATTTTGGTCCTGCTGTAAGTTGTTTCACCGACAATTGAGGCCTGCAATGACCGATTTAGAAGATCCAATATGATGCGATGCTTATTCAAGAGTTTATGTTTGAAGAATAACCAGCAGGCCACTGTCTAATACTAAAGCTAGTACGATGCATTATTCAAGTAATATGCACGGCTTGGCGTACTTGGTAAGAAAAGACATAGTACGGAAGACGGTAGAGGAAATCAGATAATTAACTTGACATCAGCAACACCGAAGTTCACGAGAGCCTCGGAACACTATCTCGCCGTCTGCCACTAGCCACATTGATTAGTACTTAAGCCCGGTGATGATTTAGAATATTCTGGAATTCCAGAGTGGCAAATTCACCACAAGTATATAAACAACGGGCCCCCCAAGCCCCATTTTTACGGAGATATTAGAAGATCCAGAGAGTGGGTAAGATAGTCGGGAAACATCTGAAAATATGACGCGCAGAACAGGATAGAATTCGCTAAGTTAACCATAAAAATGTCAAGCGCCCTGATCCATGACCAAGAACCACATTGTTCCTATTGATAGCCGCACATGTCGCCCGATAGTCTGGAGGAAGCCAGATCAAACGCTGCCCGTTGTGAATCACCCATTTCTCACCTACGAATATTTCATTTTCTTGCTGTTGAATGAAATCAGAAGTTTGGTGGTTCAAACAAAGTAAACCGCGGTCAGACTTGAGACAGCCATTGTCCGAGAATGACAAGGTAGTTAGTGTTACATCAAGATGATGTTTATCATTTTCGACTCCGGTGGCGGCATCCCAGAGCCGCACAGTCTTATCACGTGAAGCGGACGCGACCGTCTGCCCGTCTGGAGAGAAGGCGACTGCGCTGACTGCATAGCTATGGCCCTGCAGGGTACGACGCTCGACTCCGGTAGCGGCATCCCAGAGCCGCACGGTCTCATCACGTGAAGCGGACGCGACCGTCTGCCCGTCTGGAGAGAAGGCGACTGCGGTGACTGCATAGCTATGGCCCTGTAGGGTACGACGCTCAACTCCGGTGGCTGCATCCCAGAGCCGCACGGTCTTATCACGTGAAGCGGACGCGACCGTCTGCCCGTCTGGAGAGAAGGCGACTGCGCTGATCCAATCGCTATGGCCCTCTAGTACCTGCACGCATGGATCCCACTCCTCTGGCATAACAAATGCACGATCTAGAAAGTCCAGCCATTCGCTCCAATAAAGCTTCTTGCTTTCACTAGCCTGAGGACAGAATACAAGTGCAGCGCTGTATGCTTGTAATGGTGCCTCTTGTATGATAAACCCATAGCTAGTCGCAAACCTCTCAAACTCTTTGAAGATTGACTGATGCTGCTTATGACCGGTAGATTGTTCGGAGACCAGCGATCTTAGCCCTGTCCGAGTAACAAGATTTGTTAATATCTTCTTCGGTCTACTAACATTCGGGCCATTTTGAGCCGAAACTTGCTTCTAAATCATGTCAGGTAATTATTTTTTTTTAGCATTTCTAGATCACATACCTGCTGTAGGCGGACAAGCTTTTTGAGAGCTAAGATCCCATATCGGATCTCACCAATAAGGCTGAGACTCTCGAGCCAGTGAAGTAGATGTTTCTTGAAGAAGTCCGAAGCCATCGTATAGTTTTTTAAAATAGACCCAGTATTAGATGTTAAAATGTCGTTCATAAAATGGTCAACCCAGTACGTGCAACTATATCGCAGGTCGATTAGAGGGTCACGATCGGGTGGGGGGCTTGCTATCTCGGACGCTGAAATAGTTGGATCACCGAGATTGTAAATATCGCGTCGTAGTTTGATCGAAAGGCTGCGTAGAGACTCACGGGCTATTCTGTAGTGTATTGCAAAGGGCCCTGAAGGGAAAACTGTACCAGATACCTTGTCATCACTGAGATAGTCTCTTGCAGATTGATGTACCAGATAAACATGCTTATTTCGAATTGTAAAGAATGATCCACACATGCTCACAACATTCTCCAAATCGTCAGAGCTGTATTGCCACTCATTCCAGCTCGCCAAGCAACCCAGTTCACGCAGGTGAAGCGGTCGGTATGCAAGAATCACAATCGAGAGGACTAATATGCACAAGTCGCGATTCAGATTATCAAAACGAAGAATCTGTTGAAGCATTCGATCATAGAGTGGGATCAAGCCTCGGGGAGTTCTTTCCAACAGCTCAGCCATCTCTGCCGAACGCCGACACTTCTGCATTTCTTGAACTACTAAAGCCACCCATAAAAATGTGCCATCTGATCCTCGAAGAAGTTGGTCCTTGACCTGTTCTAAGAGGGCTTTATTGCGTTGAAGTGCTGTCAACTGAGAGGCTCTATAATTAATATATGCCGCAACAGCATCAGAGATATGATGCGCATTAAGCTCCAGGCTGAGCTTGTCTTTCTTATCATCAAACTCTAGTGCTTGCTCGATATCGTCTCTATTACGACTCGAGACAACCCACTTCAGTTGAACGGATGAAGTCGACTTCGTCGCGGTAATAAATCGGAGTAATTCGGGTAGACCCGACTCACACTCATCAAGGGCATCGATCAGCAGAAATATCGTGGCGTTTGATAAGTTTTGAACCATTTTGTCGAATATTACAGACAAGCTGTAAAATGCATTCCCGCTTTCAAGCAGCTTTGGGTCGGTGTCATATCTTTCTCGCAAGTGAGAAATTAAATGTGGCTGTTGTCGGATCAGCATGTAGATCAAACCCCGGAGGACACTGGTGGCATTGTTCAGTTTGGGATCAGTTGCTTGGCACAGGAAGTAAGCAATTGATTGTGACGAGTGTGACTGAACTTGTTGTAACAGTTCATTAATTATGCCAATTATTAGCATGGTCTTGCCCTTGCCAGGATCGCCCTTGATCCAAAGTAACTGGCTTTGAGAGTTGCTATGCCATTTCTGGAATTCAGCATTACCCAAGACCCATCGAAATGAATCATCCAGTAAACCGCCCTTCGTGGCCTCGATACGTCGTCGCTCAGTTTCTGGATCGGCGACCAGCAAGTCGCGCAGGCAGGAATTATCTTTATCTGTAAAGTCTTGGACAAGTAAGCCAAATTATTATCAAGCATAATTTAAGGGAATGTCGTAACAACTTACCTATTTTGACGCCTGCAGATGGTGCGGCAGGCTTTTGAATTATTTCCGCCAACACTGCTTTTGCAAACGCCGCTGCCATCGCCGCTGCGTAAGGCTGCCAGTCTTTATTCTTCCGCTCGTCGCCATAATCGCAAACCCCTCGAATGTTTCCCACCGGGATTTCATTCATGACACCCGCAGCTTCCATTTCTAGGCCAATTACACCGTACTTGTCCCTTATTGAATCCCGATCTTGGTGACTTTTCAGCAGCCTATCGCCGGACCCGATCGATCCGTACCATACACGCGTGCGTTCAGCGTCCGGTCGGCGTTGTCGTGGAACTGGTTGATCACCATCAGATAGATAAAGAAAGTCGTTTTCCTGCCCCGGGTCTGGAAACTGCGTGGCTGCATCCGTTATATTTCTGTAGTAGCCCAATATCGCCTGGGTGTCTCGCTTTTCCGCCTTGAGTTTACCGATCGCGGACCCCACAATGCGCTGTGTTTGAGGTAAGGAATGTCCGTTGCACAGCAACTCAAAGTCATCGCCTCCCTTTTGTTTCCCCAGTCCGTAAGGTACAATTGCTGGGGGATCGCCGCTGGGAGGAGAATATGCCACAATAACATCGCCTAATCGGATGTCGCAAGGGGGCGAGCATGAGAGGTTCGGGAGACCCGCAGCAACGCCTACGAGAAACCCAAACCATAGGTTTGAAAAAAACTTTTTGATGTGGCTTGCGAGAGACGCTGCAGAGTTTGTGCCGTACCGTTGGCCGGCAGCAAACGTGGCGATCACGACATTATGTCCGTGGATCTCACCCGCGTGGAACAAATAGTCATCGCCAGGGCCGACAGGAAATCCTCCCAAATGCACCTTATCCAGCATATGTCTGGCAGCCTGTACCTCGATCTCGAGTGGAGCGATCCACGCGACGGTGTAGAGGTTCGGGTCGAGGGTGGGCATTGTGGGCTCAGCTTGGCAGTGAGCCGGCTGCACACTGGACAAACTCAGAATGAGGCCTTATGAGGAGAGGAGCGTGAGGTGGCGGTGCCAGTGTGGAGGTATACGCTTTTAGTTGGCTGCTACTTGCAAAGTGGTCTATGAATTGAAAGCGGTCATAATGAGTTTAGAATACTGGAAGGAGTTGAGATGCTTCCGACACTCACTCACGCCGATGTTGACGTGGCACAGGTGCCTCAGCTGCCTTAGCGTGCTGCACAAGACATGTCGCCCAACTCTGCACACATGGCTAGCGATCCGCCATCTGCTGGCCGCGGACAAATACTGCGGGATACAGTATGTGAGCTACTGTGGAGCAGGAGTACGATACACAGATACCGCTCTTGAGGGGTAAGAACTCAAAGCCGAAGGTTCGATCCGGTCCCTCCAAGTGAGGTGGGGAATAATCCATTCTCTAGATGGAGAAATAACGGCCCGATACCTTGGTGTTTGACTGGTTTGCTCGTTCTGGTCTCGAAGATTCGATGCAAACAAGTCAAACACAACTCAGTGGTGCCTTCTCGAACCGGAGATCTGTCAACATGTTGACCTTCTCCTGCATCTCACGATCAGCTGCTGCATACTGTACCTGAGGCTCTTGCAACCTGGCAGGTACAGCAGAATCTGTGGTATCTTCCCCTGGCTTCGCAAACTCTCCCCTGCTTATGATGATGCTAGCCCTGCAGTGATGGACGCCTTGCTAGGCATCAATAGGTTCAATGCTGACGTGTCATACTTATCGAAGTTAGGTTGTAGTTCCTGCATCCCTTGGCAATGATGGATAACCTCTTTATCTATGATGCCTCTCAGCCCGGAGAATCATGGGACGACGATTCTCGGTACGCCCCCACCCCAGGTAACTTCGGCCGTTCCACCGTATACTCTCCTAGCCCCTCCCCGCATCATACCTTGCCACAACCGCCGCTGGATCGACTCGGGTTCCTCCCATTGGCTGAATGGGAGAGAGGAGGCGAATACGATCAGCAGCCACCACGATACGTTTGCTACACAGTCAAGTGGAAACTGCTGCTCAATAATAAGCCGGTGGGTAATGTGACTGAGAAGGACCTGGTTGTAGCTCCCAGCCGGTTCTGGGAGAAATATCTAAAAGTGGATCTTGACAATATGGTGCAAACAAAAAGAAAGCCCAACCAACGGGTTCGATCTGAAAGTACAACCATTAAGGTCGAGGTCGATGAACGAAAGCAGTGTCCGCTGGAACAGTTCTATAACGCCACCACCATTGATTGGGCGCCCGTGGAAAGACAATTATGTAAATGGAGTAATCTACTTCGCATCGCGAAAAAGCTTACCGTTAGCATTGCCTTTAGCTATAGGCAGGATGACCACGGAAATAATGCATCCCCGGCCAGGAAAGGCGAAAAAAGGGGTCGTGTGTCCGCCACAAATATTATGCTTGCTGAGCGTGATGCATATATTGCTGAAGAAGAAGAGCGAACTGGGCGACCCTCTGCGTGGAACACTGTATATGAGCTCATGCAATGCAACGTCCGCTCATGCCAGTTGAACTCTGACTGGTGCTGGGAAGATCCAAAAGACAGCAAACACTACAAACTCAGAGAGCCACACATTGATCGACTGGTTGATTATGTGGAAAAGGGCGGCAAACTCGAGAGCCATGGTGATGTGCCACGCGATATCCGTCGAGACCTACTTCTGGAGAGTCAGACAGGAAGAAAATCTAAAAAGAATACCACGCCAGCTAGTGGATCTTCGTATCACCCAGTGAGCATCAATGTGCTGCCAGCCCAGGAATCGAGGAGCTCCGTGATATCGCCATCGCCACCTAGGTCCTCATCTCCCCACGTTGTCATCCAAGGGGACCAAGTAGTAGCAGTAAAGAATTATTGCAAATGGTTGGAGTCACGGTACAGTGATGAGGCTTACAAAGCTGATTTTCGAAGGGCTCGTGATGCGGTCCTGAAGAGGCACATGGACCTTGAGCTTATCCTCGAGGACCCAAATCCAGGCTTCTTCACTGATGAAGGCATTCAAATAGGGACTGCCCGTCGTTTCATTCGTGATATTGCTGAATGTGACAAGCAGGTGAAATCTTCATCGCTGTCCGGTTGGACAATGGAGGAACATTCTGATGATCTTCTCTAGATCAAGGCATGTCTTGGTTATATATCGGTGAGTGCCGCTATTTCGTAAGTAGCTCGATCGTTACCGCTATGATGTCTTAACGCCTACGATTGACGTTGACGGCTTACCGGTAGTTACGATATGTGGCTCTAGGTCAGCCCATCAGATTTCAGAAAATCACGTTATGAAGTGGATGAATCATTTATATTGCCTCTAGAGAGATGTCGGGCCGGCCCCGCATCCATCTATTTATTCTGGCATGTTTAAAGTGGTACTGTATACAAGTAGGAAGATATGACAGGTACACTAGTTGTTGATTAAAGGTCCGTCCGTTAGAAACTATATATATTATCATCTAACATCTATAACCCTCGCACCGTACAAGTCTTCGTAACTGTATGGCCCCACACAGGCAGGCTTGATGAATAGCCTTAGGTTGTTCAACTACACTAATACTAGAAATTCGGCTTTAGTAACTGTTCTCATAAATGTAATAGAGCCATGAGCCACAACCGATATAAGAGGCTGACCTACCTCCTTGGTACTCTATTGATATACCTGCATGTCGGAAGTGGCCCTCCGCGCTCTTCTCTCGTTCGCCAACCGTCTGGACACATTTTCGAAGAAAGGAATGAAAGCCTTGACTAGGATCCTCTGCGAATTTCGGCCAAGCTTTCTTGATATAAGCCTTTAATTCAGCAAAAAATTCTTCGATAGGATTGAAATCTGGCGAGTAAGGTGGCAGATAGAGTAACTTAACTCCTGCGTGGGAGCACAACTGTTGGACACGATCTGAGCGATGGAAGGATGCATTGTCCATAACTATCACGGATCTTGGCGCTGGGAATCGCCGACAATGTCGAAGAAGCCGCTGGATGAAACTTTCAAAGGCCGTAGCGTCAGTCGAACCTTGATAGATGTCGGAGATAATAATACCATCCTGGGCATATGCTGGGAGTATATGGTGACGTTGACCCCGGTGAAATTTAGAAATTTGGACCGGGGTCACACCCAGGGGAGACCAGCCAGTACGTCGAAATCCTACACGTTTATCACAGCCAGACTCATCAACGAAAACAAGCTGATCGGACCGAAACTGTGACAGCTTATGCTGGTAGAAAGCTCTTAGTTGAGGGTTCTGTTCTTTTGCTTTCTGTCGCGCTTGCTTCTTTGTCCAACCTTGCCGGGCAAGGGCTCTTTGAATGCTGGATGTTGATGGAAGGATGTTGAATTCATCCCATATGAAGACAGCCATTTCTTCGATATAGAGGCCTGGCTTTTCAGTAAGATGGTCACATAACGCCTCGAGCATTACAGGAGTGATACTCGATGGCCGGGCAGCGCGGACAAGATGAGGTCTGGCGGTGCCATACAGGCGCAGCTTTCTGCGGAGCTCGGTGACAGACCGCTCGCTACATTTGGAAATCTGGGCAATCTGTGTGTTAGATAGCCTTTTGCTACGTATCATATGGATAACCATTCTATGCTGTCGAGGGTCGAGATGCCGTGCCATCTCGTTTGTCGGTTGCAAGATGGAAAGCACACGTGGCCTTGCGAATTGTGACGGCATGAAATCTAGGCGGGGTGTATTCTTGGCGGTCATTGTATTGTTTGGTTATTTTGAGTTTACGTTTTAAGTAATACCATTCACGGCAGAGACGGGCCGGAAATATAGGCTAACCGTTTCTGATGAACTAGGGCTTCGGAACTAGGGTTTGAAAACAAGCTCCGGCTGTCCAAAACGTAGAAGGACATTTCGGGTCGGACTGTATCTAGTTTGGATGATTATTCTATCTTAATAATTGCGATCCATGTTTCTCAAGTTACATGACTAAAGGAAAGTCAATCCCATGCGCTTTGGACATGATACCGCGTACCGTTTCCCGGAACGACTGTATAGAAATTGCTTTATTAGAGGCGTTTATGCTTAATCATACGGAGGATCTCCTGCATGATGTATTTTTTTTGACTGTTATCTTTTCTGGTTACTATAGCTAAATAGTGTCTGTCTTTGGCGCTAATTAATAATTAGTATATATAGATAGCTTTACAATATATACTATGTTACTAGCGATTTATTCCAGTATTTTTAAAAGTATTCAGTTTATTATCTGTTGGTTCTGTCTTACGTTAGTTTTTCAAGAAAGGGTACTCTCTGCCTCGAAAAAACCGCAGTGTATTTTATTTTATGTCTATCTTTACTTATTCTGTACTTAGAATACTTCAAACAAGAAAAAGAAGCGTGCTATTAATCCAACTGCGGTAAGGCAAACTGTGTTATATAAGTTGTTACCTAAATAACCATAATATAGAGGAGCCGGAAGAATATGTATATGCCTTGACTTATAGCTTCCCCCTAAGTTGCTGACACATAAGATTATAGGGTGAAAGTTCCCCTTATATGCGTTTGAGAAGATTTTATTGTGTATACCGAAAGGGCACTAAAGTATATCATCTACCACAAAGCCCCAAAGTTCCCCACTAATAGCCGTCATCGTTTCTTCCATCCTAGCTATTGATCAGTATCAATTATCTAAGAAAAGGAGAAGGGCAAGAATTCGTACTAGATCAAGATAAAGGAGACACGATAAGACTATATCAACCCTCTAGGGCCAGTTCCCGGTCGGGCCTAATACAGCCCAGACAGACGAGCAACTAGTCCTCGTTATCGCTCACGCTATTCAAAGTCAGGCAAGCCATCGGCCCATCGCAGTTATTAAGAAGAGAAGAGGCTTACTAGGGGTTCTATTCACGTCGAGCCAAACCAATGATATTATATATACGACAGATGACAGCATCAGAAGGATGGATCTTAAAGTATATATTAGAAAACAAGCCGCCGTCGTAGATCTCCTCCGCCCATACTCTAAGCATGTTTTTAATGTCACGGATAAAAAATTCGAAGTCAGTCTCGTGCCAAATAGCAAAATCGCGGGAGCGGAGGCGCATAGGCAAATTATGATTAGAAAGGAGCTATTCAAAGAGACGGTTGTGCTCCTGACAGGGAGTCACTACGGGATCGGCTACAATCTGATTAGATGCCATCCTATTATGGGTACGCGGAATTGGCGATCGAGATAGTGGAAAGAATGTGTTTTAAATTGCTTGTGGATACCGCACGTTATCACCTGACGACCGGCCCCACCTGACGACCGCTTTTTCCCATACAAAATAACCCAAGATCACTAACTTTAAAGAGCTACAGTTCAACGAAAATAAGAGATATTGAAAAGATATTTTAAATAGATAATTTGTAAGGCTAGTTCTATAAGATTATTATAAAATATATATCAAAATCGCGTTATAAATATATATATAAAAGCTAAGTTTTTAAATAATTAAAGATAACAGTCTTTATATTATAATACTAAAGGATTAGTAGATATATATATAAAGAAGATACTATTATAAAAGTAAATAATAAAAAGTACTCTAAAAATAATTTTATTTATTCTAATCTTCTATTAAAAGGCCATGTTTTTGAAATAATTTAAATTTTAATAATTATATTAAAAATCTGAATTCTATTGTAATATAAAATTAATAATAAAAAAATAAAGTATTAGCTTTAAAATATAGATATTTATTTTATATATTATTATAAAAAATATCTAAAAATTTATTAATTTAATAATATTTGTTTAGTTTTCTTTTTAAAAACTATCTTTATTTTAAAAGTTTTAATTACTAGTCTATAATAAATATATTTAAAAATTTAAATAGCGTAAAGGATTATTTATTTTTATTATATTTATTCATATGAAAAAGTAAAAATTACTGAGTAACTATAGTTTTATTTAGATATTACAAAGTTGTATTTTATATTGTATTTTTAAGATTTTAAGATAAATAATAATTAATTTAAAATATATTTAAGAGGCCTATATTTAGAACTTTTAATCTTAATTTTTTATATTTTTATATAATTTTTAGCTCCATTAAATTATTAACTTTTTTTAATTAAATCCTCTCTAAAATAGTTTATTCTTTTTTAACTATTTATAACTGATAAAGAAGATATAATATACTTTTTAATTATAATTATAATATTTATATTTAAAATACTTTAATTATAATTTAAATACTTATTATATCCCTAAATCTATATTATATAATTAATTTTTTAATTAATTTTATTTATTTGCTAAATTTTATTGTAATTTTATACTTTTTTCGATATTTTTTAAAATAATATAATATATTATTTTAATTTAAGCGTATAATACCATTATCTATTTATTAATATTAAATTTATTAATATATTATTATTAAGTTAATCTTTTAATTCTTTTCTAAAAACGCCTATATTTAACTTTAATAAAACTATATAAGAATTAGTATAAAGATTATATTTTTACTATATTAAAAAGATATAATATATTCTATATCTAAATATAAAATATAAATCTAATATCTCTTATTTTCGTTGAACTGTAGCTCTTTAAAGTTAGTGATTTTGGGGTATTTTATATGGGAAAAAGCGGTCGTCAGGTGGGGCCGGTCGTCAGGTGATAAGGTGCGGTAAAGAGAGAGCGAACAATCTCTATGAAAGAATCGTAGGTAAAGGTAAGTGAAAGGGTGAAAAGAAAGAAGAAAATGGAGAAGATAAAAAGGAAGAGGAAGAAGTATATAAAAGAGCAGACTAGGTAAGTCGAATTAGAAAAAGGCCCGAACTTAGAAGAGTGAATAAAAACAAAAGATAATAATTATATCCGTGGCTTTCGGGATCCTGCGGACCACCCACCGCCTTTCGCCGGGTGGGTGGTCTGCAGCGGAAAGGAATTTTCACCGCAATGGAAGAAATGAAGCATTTCATGTTCAATTGAATATATCTATCAACCACGCGGAGGATCATAAAAATAAAGATTTCCAACGTGATTTACAGCTGAAGCTTCATTAGGGATCGTGGATTGAGGCGGTAGGCAGCCGTACTTCTCTCTATATGCCTTATTCAACCTCTGTTCTTTACCAGCGGCCTCTTTCGCTCTTCTATTCGCGATAGAGCCATTCGCATCCTTTACACTCAATATCCCGCTATCGGAAACCCCTTTGACCTCTCGCTTAGTTCTTTTTTGCTTTTGTGGGCCCGAAATCGCCTCTATTCGCTCGAGAGTAGTGATCGTATTCGCGAGCTCTTCACATTGAATTTTTGTGTGATATAGAATGCGTTGGAGGTTGCGCTTGACCTTCGGAGTCAATTCCTTATTTGTAAAGACTTGAGTGATCTTTCTCTCAGTTTTTTGAGCTTGTATAGAGCTTTTTGGAGGCGTATTTTCAGCGCTCGAAGATGTAGGAATCGGAGGAGGTGTAGTCTCTCCGTACGGCCGGAGGTCAGGTGCAGAGATATCTGGAATTAGCGGTAGAATATCCTGAAGCTTTTCAATGACTGGTAGTCCATTTGGAGGGAAAATGCCGCGTTCTTCAAAGGCTTTCCGTATACACCGCTGTTTGAAGGCGTCCGCGCGTACGCTGACGATATTGTGTAAAAAAGATGACTTATTTCCGGGTTGCCCAGTCCACTGCGATATCTCATTGTTTTTTCTCTTGAATATCTGTTTATATGCAAGAAAGGGGTCTCCATCAAGAGGTTGACAGGGATGTGTTGTATGAGATAAAAAGCAGAAAGGAATAATCTCGTAGGTCTCGCAGAGTTGAAGGAATTCGACCGTTTTATGAGATGTATGACCGTCAAAGATAAGCACGCGTTTCTCTCCTTTTTTTATACGATCCTTTGTCTCCTTGTGGAATAGATGAAGCCATTGAAGAGCCAGTTTATCGTTAATATAGCCTTTTTCTGAGACAGCTGTATAGAGATCAGGCAGATCTTCATCATACCAATTCTCCATAAATTTCTTGCCCTTGAAAATAAAAAGCGGCTTCATGATCCAGCCGTCTGCAGCAACACATTCAAGCGCTTTAGTATTTTCAGAGTATTCAGCTTCAGCGAGATCACGAACTCTTTTTCTTCTACTAATGACATTTTGCCGCTTTCCTTTGCCTGGTTGAAATCCGCATTCATCAAAGTTGTATACGAGACGCGCGGGAAGACCTTTAAGCACATTAGAAAGCTGATTATACCAGAATTGAAGTTGTCCAATATCTTCAGCTTCTAATCGCTTCATTTCCTTTGTTTTTTGGACGACAGGACCCAATTGAAGCTCCTCCGGAAGCCTTTTATTGAAGCGGTAAGCCCATGTTGAGCTAACGCGCCTATCTGAGCCAGCCCGCTGTAGAGTCATATTTGCCATATCTTCAAGCATTGATATTGTGACAGGAAGAAAGTAATCATCCATACGGATAATCCAGCTCTTCAATGCAGCCTCTTGATATTCATTAAGCGTTTTATTTTGTGGAGTTTGAGCGGTGCGAGGCGATCGATTTTCGGAAACGCGTCCGTGAAGCGTGCGGTAAGGAACGTTGAAATCTCGCGCGATTTTTGCAATTGAGAGGTTTTTATTGCAACGAGCGAATTCAGCGGCTTCATTCTCGAATTTTGCAAGATTTCGGCATATTTGGTGGGTTATATAGCTTCAATAAGATGAATATATGAAATTCTTCCTTTGCGGTGAAAATTCCTTTCCGCCGCAGACCACCGGCGAAAGACGGTGGGTGGTCCGCAGGATCCCGAAGGCCACGGATATTATATATGTACGTTTTCCTTTTAGCTCTTATTATTTATAACATTCTATCTATGAAGCGAACCCTATCCCCCCTTGCTTCCTTTTTTTTTTTTTTTTTTTAAAAAAAAAGGCGCAGCTTTAGCAACCTCATCTGCTCATGAATCATTGGAAAATGGGGTTTAAAAAAGTTTATAACCGTTTATATGGCTTAATACCACTTAATTTAAATATACTGTTTCTTTGTTAGGACAAACTAACTTTAATAAGCGGATCATAGGTATGAAGCTGGGTTCTTCCTTAAACCAGGGTGGTCCTGGAGGTACATACCAGGCCCTAGCCGATGATGCGCTATAATTAGATGAACTACTTAAGAATATGCCTAGCTTGGAGAATTCAACCTATAGCATTTTCTCATCTGGGATAATATTTAACTCGCAGCCTCTCAGGCATTTGGATCTATGACGGTTTAGTCAACTTTGAACATTATAGTATACATTATATTATATTTGAGCATGTAAATTGAGACAGGGATATAAAGTTTACCGCAAAGTAGGGAAGAATACTCTTAGGCGACAACTTCCTCGCCGGTTGTGTACTGGATGTTATATACCGGCTGGTCTAGCTGATTGGCGCTGCCGAGACCGCTGGGACACGAGGGCTGGTTGCTAATAGAGAGGTCGAGGGTGCATATCTCGTCGATGCCATGGTGGCAGACAGGGTCGGCGATATTGTAGAGTATGTGGTTTTGGGCGACAAAGCTGTCGGCCTGGCTAAGGCACGAAGAGAGAAAGTCTATACTGTTGGCTGCCAAGAGGGGCAGCTTGCCGTCGTTCAAGATATCGGCGCACTCGCTAGGGCCAACGATGCCAAACTCCATATCAATAGCTCCTCCAATTTGCGGGTTGTCTTTCGCAGATTCGCCGAAGCCGAGGTAGTTCCAAGCGTCGTAGGAGATATCGTACGCGCCACCGGAGGTGTCAATCTTGAGGAGGTTGAGGGATCGGCCCTCGTGGGTGACTTTAACGCAGATCTCGTTGCAGTCGACTGCGCTGGGCCAATAGGCTACACGATTGGTGTCGATCTTACAGCCGACCACGCCGACTGAGGACGAATACTGGTCGTGAGGAGTAACGCTCGCGCCTGTGCCCTGGGTGATTATAGGGATAGTGGCAGCAAAGGCCAGCGACGCCGAAGCGGCAACAAGTCTAAGGTGACGGAACATGATGTAAATGTACGTCCTGAATAATTGATCTAAAGGAGTGACATATAAAAAGGAATCAAGTAAATGAAAACGAAAAGATTCAAGGAGTGTGGTTATAGCGTATAAGTATGAGCGGCTATGGCCTCTATTTAACGGCGACCAGCCGTAAGCTTGTTGCTCACCCTGAAATTATATGGGTCTCTAATTGCAGTAAAATTACCTCATCTCCGCTGATATAATCTTTCCGGAAAAGGTGTTACCACTTGCACTGTTTCGTATTTTTCTAGAGCCTATGCTAAGATAGAATGTTGCACATAGATTAGTAGTCTATTCAAAATATGAGCGGACAGCTGTTACTAGTGCTTATTAGAATATTCTTAGATTTGCCTGTACTCTTTTAGAAGAACTCTTCAATGGATTTCAAATCCGGTGAATAAGGAGGGAGATATATCAGCTTAACACCGGCATCTACGCACATTCGCTGGATGTTTCCGGTACGATGAAATGAAGCATTATCCATAACGAGAACAGACTTGGGTTCTGGCCATCTGTTACAGTGCTGAAGGAGTTGATCGATGAAGTCTTTGAAAGCATCGGCATCAGTAGCGCCCTGGAATACTCGACACAGGACCAGTCCATCTTGAGCATACGCAGGAAGTATCTGATAGCGTCTGTCCCGGTGAAATTTGGAAATCTGAACTGGTATCACATCTGGAGGTGACCAACAAGTTCGTCGAAACCCAACCCTTTTGTCACAGCCGGACTCATCCACGAAGATCAATTGGTAGGACTTGAAAGAAGATAGATTGTGGAGGTAGAAGTCCTGTAAATCCGCATTTCGTTCCTTTGCAATCTGGCGAGCTGCTTTTGTCGACCATCCGACCGAGGCAAGCGCCCTGCTAATGCTTTGAATTGTCACATGCTTTCCAAATTCGTCCCACAGAAAGAGGGTCATCTCGTCTTGGTATAAGATCGGCTTCTCTGTCAAATGTTCACGAAGAGCTTCGAGCATAGGCGGCGTGATGGTTCGCGGGCGGCCAACACCATTTCGCGGCGCCCTAACCTTCCCGAATACTTTGAGGTTGGAGCAAATGTGTACTATGGATTGCTTGCTGCAGTCAGCTGCATGGGCCATCTCAGACATTGTTAATGAGTTACTCTCGATCATATGATGAATGAGCTCGAGCTGTGGGGGTTGGAGGTTTGGTGCCATAGTGCTTCAAACGAAGCGGAGTGGGTTGTCTGAACGATCGTGTAACGTGGACTTATTCCAGGCCCCGCAGTGGATTAGCCCCCAGGCGTACGGGCCGACAATGGATCCGATGTTACCTGCGCCGATAATTCTATACGATTTTAGGGGATTCTCTGCAGTGTGACTGGTGCCTGGGAGGTGACTTTTCCATGCAAAGTCATGTACTGTCAAGGCCATCTAGATGGCCTTCCATTGGCAATCGCCATCGCTGGAGCATTTATGCGTGAAACTGGAACCAACATCACTGAGTACTTGCAGTATTACCACGCATCTTGGTCCGACCTACAGCTGCAATCAAATCCTGAACGCCAGTACCAGCAAGACAATATGCTGCAAACATGGATGATCTCATGTCATGAGATTCAGCGGCGAGACGCGAACACAGCTAAACTGTTACTGTTTCTTGCTTGTTTCAATAATCGAGATATTTGGTTTGAACTACTAAAACGTAGCTGTTATAGCTTGAATCTCCCAAATTGGCTGGAAAAGACTACATCAAGCGGATTCGCGTTCAAAATCAGTGTCAAAGCTCTTATCGGGTTCTCTCTACTGGAGGCTAAGGAGCAAGAAGGGGGCTACGCTATGCACCCGGTGGTGCAAGACTGGTGCATTCACCTTGCTAGCGCAGACAAAACTCTGAGTTCAATTCAGCTCAATGAACTGGCCATGGTATCTGTTAGGTACACTGTCCCTAGCGCAAGGACCGGAATTTACTCCGAACTTAAGCAACGACTTAATCCACACGCGAATTATGTAGGTTGTAGGGGCTGTCCAGGCTATGATATTGCGGTGTGGGGAGCATTCCATGGCTTAGGAGACCTCTACTCTGATCAGGGGAAGCTAAAAGAGGCAGAGATGTACCGGCGAGCACTGGCGGGGAAGGAAAGGGCCCTCGGTCCTGATCACACGTCCACCATTGAAACAGTCAACAACCTTGCGGTTCTCTACTATGATCAGGGCAAGCTGCAGGAGGCCGAGGAAATGTACCAGCGAGCACTGGCAGGCAAGGAGAAGGCCCTCGATCCTGATAACAATCGGACCCAGTTGGTTGTGGATAATGTAAATGCGTTAAGGACTGTATATGGATATTAGCGGATAACCGTCCTCATGCATCAAGAAATAATCGTTTCATTCTGTTCGGTTCTTTGGTCTTGGCAGGAAGCCATCTCGGTACTACTTACGCGGAAAGTATCTAAAAGATTTATAATTTGTACAGTAATTCCCGCTATTCTTTTGGAATTGATTGACCTAGCAAAGGTTGGGGAAAATTTGATATTACTGCCACCAGGCAGCATCCTCCAAGAGGTTCTAAAGGATTCCATGCCAAGTGGGTACGTAACATGTAATATTACAGCTCACTTAACGTACTATACAAAATCCATCTTTCAACGGCCCTCAATTAAAAGGGCCCGTCCAATAATGTACTTGCGCTAATGACTTGGCAGTGGGGCCGAGAAGAGAGTCTGATTGTGTATTGGTCAAGCCGATTTCGAGAAAGACTGTACCTCGAAAGCGTTAGGACCAGCATCTACACTAGTAACCTTGCGTACCACATGAAGAAAATGGCGAAGTGCAAATTCGTGGCACTGCTGTAAAATAAAGACACTCATGAAAATAGTCTTCTGGGGCAACATTGCAGGGGCGTGAGTCTGCGTACTCCCTAGACCCACTCTCACTCGAGTCTCGGGCTGCATCAATACCTGATACTAATCAGTCTGCGCTTTTTTGGCCAACGGCAATGCTAGCCAAGTAGTATGATGATTATTAGCATCTCGGAGCCGGTATCACTACGCGGATGTCCACCTCTTTTCATGGGACGTACTTCTTACCAGCCTAGACTATAACTTATATAAGGCCAGTCGAGCCACCCTTCCGCCAAATTTTATCTCCTGAATTACTCGACCGAACATCTGAATTCAACCGCACAAAGGCTGCCATGGCTCAAAATAAGAAAAGTACTCGGAAACCGAAGACGCCGGATAACCAGGCCAACCGCCAAGGTACCAATTATCGAGTGGGTAAGCAGTCCAAATCAGCAGCAACAACAACAACAACAACAACAACAACAGATATTGCCGGGAAAACCATCGAGACTTTATTACGGTGCGATGGTTTAGATTACGAACGCATCCTAGGTGTTTCAAGAACAGCTAGTGAGACAAAAAAGAAGACTGCATTGGATTCGTTGGCCAAAATCCTTCATCCAGCACATCATGGTTCACAAGAACAAGTTATTAGAGCGGAAAAGGCATATGAAAGTAAGAGCTTGTGCGCAAGTGTAAGCTATCTGATACTGACAGATGCCGAAGAGGTTTGGACAGCTTTCATGGAACTCAAGAATCCAGATACCTCTATGCCCGGATACGAACCAGGCGAAGTCATGGACATAGATGAGTTGTATTATCGCGGCGATGAAAGCGATGAGCCGGGGTTATCTGAGGATGACCAGAGGAAAATACATATACAAGGTCTATTGCGTCAGATTGAAACCCGCATTGACGATAGTACATTGCGAGAAGCACCGAAGGGTATAATGAAATATTACCGAGATGCATCCGATGAGGTCAAACAGCTCTTGGCTGATCCGGAAAACGAGGAGGTATTTCAAAAGCTATTGGCGTACCAAACCAATATCCAGCGCCAGAAGAAAGGTTTCAACCTCAATGTCGAACATATACGCGAGGTAGCGAGATGCATTATTGCTTGCCACGAAAGATTACTTCAAAACCCAGAAGACATGCTCGAAAAGTGCAAATACACAGAAGCTTTGGTTACCTTTGAATGTCAGAGACGGTACGATGGATGGCCAAGGGATTGGAATCTTCGGGACTCCCATGAGGCGGTCCCCGTGGCCTTCGGTGCAATGGCCGATCCTTACGTTCATGTCCTAAAGAGTGATCCCAGAAACAAAGATGCCAGAGCCAAATTGCGAGACCTGGATGTCCAGCTTCAAACTTGGTTCAATTCCAAACAGCAAATGGGACCATGGGACAAGCTCATCGGATTCTACGATGAACTGGTTTCCATCATGCCGGGTATTCAAGCTGATCACGAGCTCCACCTACATCTAGAGGACTTCCTTGAGACAAACCACTACCCTCTCTCCTGGGCAGTGAGACCTCCAGCGTCTGCAGACAGAAGCGGGGAGACTAACTCGGACCCTAGGACAAATTCTGATGCAGCGATTGGTGAAGCCCCACCCACAGAAACCACGGAAACCATAGCTATGGCTACAGGATCTGGGAAAAAAGCCGATGCAGCGCGTTATAAAGTCCCAACCACAAGAGCAGGAGAAGTCATATGTGGCTACAAACACACAATCCGTCACTTTGGCGATAAGGGAAAAATGGAACATGAATTTGGACGGCTGCTAACGGATGACGAATGGAACGCGCTCGCCAGCCACACATACGTATTTGCAATTCTACCGGATAGCAGAGTTCCGATCGGCGAGCTAAGATCTGCCAGTCAGATAGGATATACGGTGAGGGATGAATACCTAAATTGGGACGGCCAAAAGGAGTTAAGAAAGGCCGGAAAGAACGACAGGTTCCGGTGGCAGGGATTAGAAGCCGTCTTTGTGCGCCCACGTGGCAAGAATGACGAAGGGCATGTGGTGAAGAAACAGCGTGCCCCAGAAATTTGGGTCATGTCATTATTGGCAGATCGGTTGAGAGACGGGAACTTGGTCAATATTGAGAAACCGCTGCTCACACGAACCGAATACCGTAAACTTCGAAACGGCACGGACGCAGATTATGATATTGTGGACATCTTCGAGAAGAACGGCCAAGAACCCCCTATCGAAATGAGGGGGAGCAGCCGTAATACTAGTACCGGCTTCGAGCGACCAATGGCCCGAATGCCCAAGCAAATATCGAATACCAGAGAAGCTACAAAAGGTCTTAGTCAGTCCGAAGTCGTTACCCTGCTCTACATACACGAAAAACAGATGAAGGAGATGAAGGAACAGGTGGAGAATATGGAGAAGAAGATGAATGGGACCAAGGAGAGAGTTTAGACCGCTTGATACAGCGGATGGTGAACCAAGGGAATCACATTTTTGCGGGTCTATTGTTCTGAGGATGTGCACTATACTTGTGACCCTGCCGAAGGCGAGAAGACAGAAGGGGCGGTTGCCGAGCCGGGGAATACCAATCCCCGAATTCGCAGATTGCACGATACAGTCAGCCTATCCGGCCCACTGAACGTCATTGAATACGGGGGGTTTCTATATGGTTGGAGTTGATGCAGGGAGATTGCCTCGAAAAAAGATGGATCGAAAACTTCCGTTTCGGGGAACAAGGCACGCTTCCAATGTATCCAGATGGACCGGGCAACGACCTATCGTTCGGCCGATGTGACGCCTTGGCTGCCCACCTCTCTCCAAATGAGATGGGTAGGCTAGTCACAGCAGCCCATAACATCGATCCTGTCCCCAATACATTGGAATGCGAATAGGAAGTTGAGGGGGGAAATTTGCGAGGCATGTGTGAGTTCAAAGGTTTCTAAAGTGGCTGGATCCCTTATTGAGAGCATTTCGGCCGTATTATAGACTATTTTCGAGTTTATTAATGTTATACTTTCAATGAGAGATTTAGCCGCCAGAAATGTTTCAAGTAGGTCTTAATACAGTACTCCCAATCCTTCCTTCCTTTAATTTTGCCTCCAGCAAACAGTAAAGACAGGCGCATCAGAAGTATTGAACATGAATAGGTACAATCGGCCTGTTGCCAAGCGACGTGAACATATTTTGTGAAGTTGCGTAACAGGCGATCCACTCGTATGCCAATTCGCCAGCTAACAACCACCACTTCAAGTCCCCGAATGGACTTGCTGGTGAGGCCGACATTACGGCGGTCGTGGTTTAAACTGAGCGAGCGCAGCAGCCTTTGGGACACGCCAAAGCTAACAGTGGGGATATGTACATCACATGTGCCGGCGGGGATTGGCAGGGGAATGAACAACCAGTGTATTCTCTTGTAAAAATGTACAGTCGTTCTGCATGGAACGTTTAGGGCAGTATGTAGGCACTCTAGGAAAGTTGCCATCCGCCGACGACACCGGACTCAAGCGCGGTCCATATACTATGGACTGTTGGAGGTCTGTATCTTGTGCAATGATTTCCGCTTGGCTTTTAGCATTGTCTATCCGGGACTGCCGGAAAGGTGGCTGGAGCTTGTAGTGTAGGCTCTCCTGTGTTGATTTTTAGCAGGTCTTCGGCATGCCATTTTTGTCATTTTTGTCTGACCTGAGTTGCTCCAAATCATTGTTGAATTATCAATCTAATCTGATTGACTTCCAGTGGGCGAAATTATTGGGACGGCCCAGCTAACGTGCCACCTGCCAGGGAGGTGGAATACTTGGTACTGAAGGCAGTAAAGATCTTCTAGTGATCACACACCCGGAATGATGAAATGTTTGAAGGCAGATAAAGGATAAGTATAACCCCTTCTGTGTCTATTAAAGCTTCGGAACTAGTATTCAAAAGCGAATCCGTCTGTGTACAAAATCGAAGGAGGTTTGACCATATATGATAATAGCATCCACCTTCGATGGTTTGATATTTCACGAGGAGTACCGGTTCCGAAGTCGCGGAACAAGGGGACCGCCAGGAAGGGAATCGCGGCGCAGAGACCACAACGGGCTTCATCTCCGGTTAGGAAAGATAGTTAGCGGTAATATGTAGCTCCCCGCATATCGCCAGCAGTCGAGGGGTCAGCGCATGAACTCATCTAACCATCATTAATGCAGAACACACAAAGTCGAAACCAATGCCACCCCTCCGGACACTTCTCTTTATTTTATCGAGTAGAGACTAGACTGTAAATAATACGATTTGGATCGTAGGCCAATCATGTCAATTTGCCAAGTCTTTTATCGGGAGCTTTACCCTTTTCGTACGGAATCAGAGTTATGGAGAACAAACGAGACTATACTGGGGGTGACATTGGTTTCGCAACTGAGTATACAATAGGAATACTGTATGGGTTTACAGTTTATATATAAATATAAGATCGTTAATATTCTTTATTGAAATGAAGGAATGATTCCATTTTAGTCTTTTCTTTTATTCTTGCATATCTAATTCATTCATCATAGGGCATCGTCTGGGTCTGTTGTGCCTTCGGGAAGATTTGTGAGCCTCCTTCAGCCACATATAAGTGCAAGTGGTTGTAGTGACTGAATTAGACATCAATGGAAAGGCTGGCACCCTTCGATCACGTTGAGTGGTGGGATGTATCTGGGCAGTTGCAAATGCGTCCATCGCTCTTTTAACACGGGGTTTCGATCCTGCTACTATGGTGGCCGTACGCATTTTGCCAACTTCCATCAACCCACAATCCTCCTTCAGGAATCAGTACACTCTTTTGAAGAAAGCAGTTCAAGACATGCTTCGCGAGATTTGGTGGCGTAATCTTCATCCCAGACTTTCTCAAGAGTCTCTTTTAAAGTAGAAATGCTAGATGGCGTATTAAGGTAGGCATCACATTCGGTGTACGATGTAAGTAGAATCGCCGTTATCGAATGCGACTTGTTCCGGATAGATGCCTGTATAAGCCTTGCGAGGAGTCTGGCGCGTTGCGTCATTAGGTGTCGTGAAACGACAGGAGTTTTCTCATCCTTCCTCATTAAAGAGTTGACTATAAGCGCCACAATCTCCACATGATCCCTTGAGCAGGCAATGGACAATGGCGTCTTTAGTGAAGTGGTTAAAAGATTCTGTTCGAGGATTTCCTGGACAATAGCGATATCATTTGCCCGGGCAGCTGATCGCAGAGCCGACTGTAATATCTTATTACGCAGATAAACCAGAGCTTTATCCAGTAAATCGTTCGCAATTCGGTAGTCATCCTCATCTATAGCATGACAAATTGCTCCTTCGGTGTACCGCCAATCCGCTGTTTCCGAATCGATTCTCACATTGACAACGAATTTGAGTATGCGTCGCCTGGTAGTAGAATATAAGTTGCGAATAGTGTTAAAAGGCATAGTAAAATGCATTCTGGATGCTAACGACCACCTGCTGCAAAAGGTATGAAATGGGTACTTGGAAAAATAAGTGCAGATAATGTTTGACGGCGGCTTTGGGCCAGTATTTATACATCCAAATCATATTCTGTTACATCGGCATGGACGGAGTGTACGATACATATCAGCCAGGCAAAGGCAAACAATAAACAAAACAAACCCCACTCCTGCAGCTTTTGCAACTCCCATGGCATTTCAATTTTGTAACAGGCTCATATCCATTGTACCTGTCGGGCATTCTCGCACAAAAGGGACTAATCTGGAAAGTTGAAAAGATGCAACATGGTCAGTTTGGAGTGACATTTTCAACGGCCTTTAGGAGTAGACTGGGGAGGTCGATTTCGTCCTCCCAAGAGGTTCCAATAATAACAAATGACCACGGGTCTACCCCTTTAACCGCTGGGTACAGACTTAAGTCCTCATCCGGACCATACGCTGCGTGCACGCTCGAAAAATGGCACCAAGATGATTCAAGAGTTTCTCTCAAATGTGAGAGACAGACTTTGCCAGTAGTTATCTTTTCTGTGCAAGCACCCGCCTTGACCCGATCCAGATGCCATATCTCGCGTACGTAGACCTCGATGCTCTCTGTCTGTCGGACTCTCTTAAGCTCGTCAAACAATTTGTCTGGGTTGTCTTCTGATGACATCATAAATTCAATCACAGGCAGTTGGCGACAATGATACCAAATGCCGTCCTCTTCGGCAGCATACCCTTGTGCCACCTCATCTATATATGGCTCGTGTCCGATCGTAAGGAGCCTCTTGTCGTTGAGAGCAAGTAAGCCCGGAACCATTGCTCCTGTTTCATCCAAATTGCCGACACAGTAGGGCGAATCGTGGGTTTCGCCTCGAAGAAATCGCTTATTTAGTTCTAGTATGTCATCGAAGCAAGTCGCCTGCCACCAGACCTTTAGTTCTTCATTGTAGGCCACTGAACAGCTAGGTGACTCTTCCCGGTCATCGTCAGACATTTAGAAAGATAGGTTAGTCTGGGATAATAGGGAATATGGTAAGTATCGTGTAATAATCGGAACGTGGGAGTCAGCTGCGGAGATTAATGCCTTATAAGCTAGATACACTATGCCAATCAATAGGAAATTTACCATACTTTTCGTTGGATTGGGAGTGTAGTCTTAGGCCCTCCCTCTGCCAGATATTCTAAGCGCATTCATATCCTCACCTCATGCAGGTATTTACGCATGGTTCTGGCTACGTAGAAGCATACACACTCTGTAGACCGATGAGGAGCGCTCGAGTCCTTTTCTTGGTCTCCTTAGGTACGAAATTAATGATTCTTGGCCGGTAGAGGATCCAATACGTACGTTTGATAGATTAAAGGATTATTGCGCGACTGTTGATTGGATCCTCCTGATTGAAGTATGTTATATACATAGTTACAGTATTTCCGGGAAACGGTGTCACCACTTACACTGTTACACACTCCTTTTGTCTCCCAAACACGAGTGCCAAGAAAAGGCTAACCCAGAATCGAATGGTGTATGAAAGAACTATGTTCCCATGCTTTATGATTTCAGCCGTTAATATGTAATTGAACGGAAGCTATTGTATCGTATTGTAATCAGACTATTGTACTCTGGAAGGTTCCATGATGACTAATTGCGTGCCACGCCGACAAACTTGGGATATTTGACAGGTCTACAACTTCATGTCTGGCTGAACACGTTGACCGTATTCTAGTTATATGGGCTTCATCTGCTCCTGTACTTACCCATTGGCGTATGCAATATCGAAAATGGCACTTATGATGGACCTGCATTGTCGGAGGCCGTGTTGTCGCCCTGACATATATGATAGATGATGAGGGAGAGCAAGTGCAAGTCATGCAAAGTTCGAATTCGGATATGACATATGCGCTGCGAGACTTGCATGCTTTAGCATCTAATCGCGTGCGGGATTATTTGAGCGACCACAATCACCAAGTGACCGAGGATGAGCTACCAACGTGCAAGATCGTTCTGCCACGGGG